AACATGCGTGTTATACAACATATTTCTCAAATAATACATAATTTTCTCCAGCACATGTTCTACGCAGCGGATGCCCTTCCAACTGCAGCATCCACATCCACACTTACACACATACACTACGACCAATTTAGCGTACCCAATTTACATATACCACATGTCTTTGGACTGTGTGGGAAACCCGAGCACCCAGAGGAAACCCATGCAAACACGGTGAGAACATGCAAACTCCACAAAGAAATGCTCAACAAATAAGTACACCCCTTTTGAAAATGAATGTTTTTATCCATTTCCCAGTGAATGATGACAATAAATGTTGGTGCATTTAAACAAAATAGTTTTATTATACTAAAATAGGAGTCTAGTCATCGAACATTTTTGTAATAGAAAAATAATACATTTAATTTAAACAAGTTATTGCAAAAATCCCCCCAAAAAACACCTAAGTTTGCTATTTTTTTATGTTTCTCTTGATTTTTCCTGTTTATTATTATTTATTAATAAATCAATTTTTTTGTCAATGTATTAGTTGGGGTGTATTCATTTTTTTGAACCGTGATCTCTTTTTTTTTTTTTCTAGATTAGCTCTAGTTTTGGCTTCGGTACTGACTAATCTAATGTATATGCACAAATATATTATCGTAAAGCATCGTATTGAAAATATGAATATAAAAGAGTATAAGGTGGTTGAATTAAGACCCTGTTTGAAAGGGGAAGGCAGAAAGGAAGTAGAAAGATTTACCACACAAAACCCTGAGATTTCCCTTAAGACACTTTAAGTCATTCACACGCACTTTCGTTTACAGAAAGAGCATCACTTTTGTGGTGCCGTCTTTATTTATTATTTAAGATTTGGAAGTGGTGCGACCTATTATTTTGCTGTAACCACTGTAGTACTCAGCTTCATTTCATAAGCGACCACTTTTCATAGATCTTACACTGTCAGACTAACCTAAATGTCTGTAATGTAGTCCAGATTTCTGACAAAATATATATCTTTGCATGTAAAGCAATGCAGATTCTAGTTAAACAGAACACCAGAGGCAATAAATACCAACACATTTAGTTCCTTTTTACAGAATTTTTTATTACACTGTCAAAAAATATCTATAAATTAGCAGTTTTTCCATATTTTGTGATTTATGTTTTTATTTGTTATTATTCCCCGTATGTTTATGCTTTTGAATTGCATTATGGGAGCTTGATCTTTCTTCCAACATCATTCAACCTTGAAATGTTTAAAAAAGGTTACTTTTATTAACATTTTTAATAGTTTAAAGTGCTATATTGTCTGGGTTTGTGTTGTGTATTATGCTACAAAAACCTTAATAATATAATATAATATAATATAATATAATATAATATAATATAATATAATATAATATAATATAATATAACATAATATTTTCCCAGAGATGGGTTGCGGCTGGAAGGGCATCCGCTGCGTAAAAACTTGCTGTATAAGTTAGCGGTTCATTCCGCTGTGCCGACCCCCGATTAATAAAGGGACTAAGCCGACAAGACAATGAATGAATGTATAATATAATATAATATAATATAATAAAATAATGTAATTTAATATAATATAATATAATGTAATGTAATTTAATATAATATAAAATTATGTAATTTAATATAATATAATAACCAGTAATAAACTGCCAGTACATTTTCTGTTATTTTACAGACTCATTTCTCTATTATTATTTCTTATGCATTATATTATTTCAAACTACTAAAATGTAAATAAAAGCCACTTTGTTAAACTGTAGAGTTAAATTTTTCACATCAAAGGTCGACAGAGCAGAGATCAACATCTCATAATGCAATTCACAGGTCCATAAATAAACAGAAAACACTTTTTTTTTTTAATAATGAAATATGCAAACTGTTAATTAACAGATATTTTATACAGTGAAGATTATCAGACATAAATGTAACACCCTTAATACTATATATAAATTTACTCTTCCAGTATAACTAGCACTGCTTTAACAATGTCAATAAATAATATCTTGTTCAATAGTCATGATCTGGAGGTGTCTTGGCATAAAACACAGCAAAAATTAAGTTGTTAATATTTAAAAATGTACAATCATTGAACTCCAGTGTACCTGCAAATAATCCAGAGAAATTAAGAGAACAAAATAATAAGATGAAACAAGGCAGCGTGTATGTGGCCTTGACATATCTTAGCAGCATGAAAAATACAACCTTTATTGAGAAACTATTAAATGTAGAGTGCCAAGGAAGCAAGTCAACTAAAAAAAAAGTCACACTATATCTAATTTATTGAGGCAAAAGTTATAGTTAATGGTTCGCTAACAACTACTAATTATCACTAATAACTAATGGCTTATTACCAGCATATAATTAAGATATTAGCTGTTTATACTTATAAAGTACATATTGTGCCTGATCTTATTCTACATCCCTAATACAATATTTAAACCCAACTACTGCCTTAATAACTATTAATAAGCTGCAAATTAGGAGTTTATTAAGCTGAAAGTCATAGTTAATTGTTTGTTAATACCTACTAATTATCAATAATAACTAGTGGCTTATTACCAGCCTATAAGTAAGATATAGGCTGTTTATTAATATTAATAAAGCACATATTATGCATGATCTTATTCTACATCCCTAATACAATACCAAAACCCACCTTAGCAGCAAATTATGAGTTTATTGAGCCAAAATTCATAGCTAATGGTTTGTTAATCAATACTAATTATCACTAATAACTAGTGGCTTATTACCAGCATATAATTAAGATATTAGCTGTTTATTACTACTTATAAAGTACATATTGTGCCTGATCTTATTCTACATCCCCAATACAATACTTAAACCCAACTACTGCCTTAATAACTATTAATAAGCTGCAAATTAGGAGTTTATTAAGCTGAAAGTCATAGTTGTTTGTTAATACCTACTAATTATCACTAATAACTAGTGGCTTATTACCAGCCTATAAGTAAGATATAGGCTGTTTATTAATATTAATAAAGCACATATTTTGCATGATCTTATTCTACATCCCTAAGCCAATACCAAAACCCACCTTAGCAGCAAATTATGAGTTTATTGAGCCAAAATTCATAGCTAATGGTTTGTTAACAAGTACTAATTCTCACTAATAACTGGTGGATAATTACCAATCAAGAAACTTTTACTTAAAGGAAAAGAACCACCAAAATGTCTATATTGCAACAGAAACCCCATTTTTATGGTTATCAGACAACAATATTTATCTGGAGAGACTTTAAAGGAAATATTTTTAAATATGAATCCATCAAAAATTGTACATATTTTTTTATCAAAAGGAAACCTTAAAAAACTGTTTTAGATTTTTTTTTTTAATCTTATATATTGTCATTATTGTTATTTATGTATTTTACATTGGACATTATTTATTGCTGTTGATGACTTTTAATTGTTAGAATAGTTTTATAATTATAGAAAATTGGTATTTATAAAACGTGATAAACTTGATACATTTTCTTTTTGCCATGACGCAGCCATGGAAGCTGAAATGGCAATAAATTAAAACTCTCTCTCATTACCAATCAAGATATTAACTGTTTATGACTACTTATAAAGTACATATTTTACATGATCTTATTCTACATCCCTAATTCAAAACCTAAACCCAACTACTGCCATAACAACTATTCATTTAATTAATTTATTGAGCCAAAAGTCATGATTAATGTTTGTTAATAAGTACTAATTATCACTAGTATTTAGTGGCTTCTTACCTGCCTATAATTAGGATATTAGCTGTATATTACTACTTATAAACTATATATTTTGCATGATCTTATTCTACATAATCCAATGCAATACCCAAACCCAATTACTACCAAAATAACTGTTAATTTAATTAATTTATTGAGCCAAAAGCCATAGTTAATTGTTTGTTAACAAGTACTAATAATCACTAATAGCTTGGCTTATTACCTGCCTATGATTAGGATATTGGCTGTTTATTACTTATTTAGTACATATTTTGCATGATCTTATTCTACATCCCTAATTCAATACCTAAACCCAACTGCTGCTTTATTAACTAATAAGGAGTTTGAGTTTAATAGCTTGTTAATAGTGAGAATTGTACCTTAAAATAAAATGTGATTGGCCTTTTAACCCAAATTACTAAGCTTGGACAGTGAATTGTCTGAATGTTTGCTTGCGATCAGTCAACAAGCTGAATGTATTGGAGTCAGTAAAGGTCAGTGCGTTTGCCTGCTGTGCTGCAGCCACGCAGGGGTCCAGTGTGAGATTATTAGCTCTGATCTGTTCTGACAGGAACTAAAAGGTTCTCCTTATCCTGGTGTCTTTGCACTGTATAACACCAGTCAGCCTGGTGGGAGAAACACACAAATACACACACATACTGTAGACAGGTGTAGCTTTCCCTTTACATTTAAGTCACTTATGCATGAAGCGTTTTCTTTGCTTTTCTTGCGATTAATTTCACATTTTACTTCATTAGATTATTTTTTTTATCATATATGTGACCCTGGACCTCTAAACCAGTTGGTATATTTGTGGAAAAAGCCAAAGAAAAATGCATTGTATGATTTACAATTTTCAACTGTAAGCCAATTATTATTAAAATAATATTGTCAAATTATCTTCAGTGAACAAGTTAAGTAAATTTCCCTTTGTACATATATTAAAACTTAACTTTAAATGGTATTTTATATCGCTAAGTACTTAATTTAGAAAATTTATCAGCGATTTTCTCAATATTTTGATTTTTCTGAACCCTCAGATTCCAAATATTTGTTTCTCGGTCAAATATCGTCCAATCACATCAGTGGAAAGCTTATTATAAATGGATAAATGAATGAATAAATCACAATTACCAAACATTTACACTTAAAACTGGTCTTGTGGTCCACGTATATTCTGGCATTTGGCTTTGAATGTAATGCAGACAATATACATCTCTTTCCTCGTAACTTATGAGTTTCAAAGATTAGACGGAATTATGTTGTTTACAAAAATTTATTCATACAAATCTTACAGCACAGTTGTTGTTTTTTTTGTTTGTTTTTTATCTCGTTTTTTTTTTCCTTACATATATATATATATATAATGGAGACCCTGTGTGGCTCCCATGTGTTATAGCACTAATGATCAACACAAGACACAGAGCTCGATCTCAACGTTTAAGTAAGGCTTCGGGCACAGTTTCTGCACACAAAATGAATTTCAAGATTGGTCATGTTTAATGAACGCTGTACAGATACAACACACTATGCATAGAGAAGTTAACCGGAAAGGCAGAGCCGGGTGGCATGTTAACCAATTATGTTATGTGAGAAATATTTGGGAGACGTGTGAGCAGGTGATTGCAGCATTTGGAGGGCCACTAATGTGCCATCTGAAATTGGTGGCCATTTTAAAGATGAAGCAAAGGCACCCAAGCCGCTAGCTGCCTCCTGTGTCACAAAGCCTGCAGGAATTAAACACAGATTGATTTCACACGTTGGCCCTTTTGCACGCAAACATACATGTAGACAGATATGCGAGTACACTGTAAAACAATTATACAATCAGAAAGTCATGATGGGATGGGTTTTATATAAGGGAATCAGATTTCAATCAAGTCAGCTTAAGAGTTTAAGTTGAAATGACTTGTGAAGTTAATTTGACCCAACTTTAACGATTGATAGCATCATTTTTTTACAGTGTACTTCACTAACAATTTTAGGCATATATAATGTTGTCACATACTTCCAGATTCAGGGTGCACTCTAAAAAAAAATGCTGGGTTGTATTAACCCAATGTTGGGTTAAATTTGGATAAATCCAACCATTTGGTTCATTATTTGTTTCCAATTACATTTAAATAAAACATTTGGGTTTGTCCATTTGACCCAATATTGGGTTGATAAAACCCAGCATTGTTTAGTGTAAGTTGTAAACTTGGTTTTACCTCATCATGACATTACCTTTCATTTAACTTTAATTAACTTGATTAAAAAATTAAGTCTTGAATGCATAAGGGATCAATACAGAAATTCAATTCAACTGTGAAATTACAAGTATTACACTTTCAAAAATACTGGGTTCTTGTATCCCAACGTTAGGCCAAATATACAGACAAACCCAAATGGTTGGGTTTGTCCATATTAGATCAAAAGTTGAGTTAAAACAGGGGTGTCCAAACTCCAGTGTCCTGCATATTTTAGTTCCAACCCCAATTAACCACACCTAAACCAGCTAATCAAGCTCTTACTAAGTATAGATCATTTCAATGAGGTGATATCACTGGTTTGTTGCCAAACTATTTCATAACTGTAACAGGAGCCAATTTAATCATATCTTAATGTTAAAACGGCTGCCATAGCATTATTTATAAATATGTGGAGCTTTTTGGATTCTTAGAAGCTTTGGAAATTAAAAAAATGTAATAAAGGAAATACATTTGGACCATTGTTATTGTTTACATCCCTCAAAATGGTCTATACTGGAAACTTTCAGGCAGCTGTGTTGAAGGAAGTTGAAGCTTAACTATGCAGGATGGAGTTTAGACACCCCTGAGTTAAAACAACCCAGCATTTTTAAGTGTAGCCAAATAAACAACAGAAAATGGTAACTCTGAAATTTGAAATGCACGGACAAATGTCTATATCGATACAGTTTTTGTTAGTCAAAGAAATTAAAGTATGAGTGATTTGAGACAGGTGCATGGTGAGAGCTGTGGAATTACAAGTACTACACTTTTATAAATGATGGGTTGTTGTAACCCAACATTGGGCAAAACATATGGACAAATCCAAATGGTTGAGTTTGTCCATATTAGACCCAACGTTGAGTTAAAACAACCCAATATTTTTGAGTGTAGCCAAATAAATGACAGGAAATGATAACTCTGAAATTAAAAATGCACAGACAAATGTTTACATCGATACAGTTCTTGTTAGTCAGAGAAACACAGGTATGACTTTGATTTGAGACAGGTGCATGGTGGGACCTGTGGAATTACAAGTACTACACTTTTAAAAATGCTGGTTTGTTGTACCCCAATGTTGGGCCAAATATACGGACAAACTCAAATGGTTGGGTTTGTCCATATTAGACCCAACGTTGAATTAAAACAACTCAATATTTTTGAGTGTAGCCAAATAAATGACAGAAAAAGATAACTCTGAAATGCAAAATGCACGGAAATGTCTATATTGATATAGTTTTTGTTAGTCAGAGAAATAAAAGTATGAGTGATTTGAGACAGGTGCATGGTGAGAGCTGTGGAATTACAAGTACTACACTTTTAAAAATGATGGGTTGTTGTAACCCAACGTTGGGCCTAATATATGGACAAGTCCAAATGGTTGGGTTTGTCCATATTAGATCCAAAGTTGAGTTAAAACAACCCAATGTTTTTCAGTTTAGCCAAGTAAATGACAGAAAATGGTAACTCTGAAATTTAAAATGCACGGACAAATGTCAATATCGATACAGTTTTTGTTAGACAGAGATACAAAATTATCACTGATTTGAGAGAGGTGCATGGTGAGAGCTGTGAAATTACAAGTACTACATTTTAAAAATGCTGGGTTGTTGTAACCCAACATTGGGCCAAATATACGGACAAACCCAAATAGTTGGGTTTGTCCATATTAGACCCAAAGTTGAATTAAAACTACCCAATATTCTTGAGTTTAGCCGAATAAATGACAGAAAATGGTAACTCTGAAATGCAAAATGCACAGACAGTTTTTGTTAGTGAGAAAAACGAAAGTATGACTGTAATTTGAGAGAGGTGCATGGTGAGAAAGATAGGATAGAAAATTGTGGGGGGAAAAAAGAAGAAGAATCACAAACCACTGACTAATAAATTGTAATACACAAGACACAAATTCACAGACAAAGACTTTAATTCTTTGGTGAAGATTCAAAAGGCAACAAAGGCACATTCAGTAAAAGTCAGGAGGAAGTGGAAAGTGTTTAATCAATTAAGAATGCTGAAGATGCCATTTAGATCCAGCGTTATTTGATCAGTTACAGGCTAAATATTTCAGAACAGAATCAAAGGTAGAGCATTACTAATAGTTAAAAGGTTTGTGCAAGAGATGAATGACTTGGATTTAAGCCAAAGATGGGAAGTGAAGAATTTAATGTGAGTAAAAGCGTATGAACAGAGCGAGAGACAGCCCTCTGAGCCTTATAAAAACTCACCGGGAATTCAGAAGAAAACTGTCTCAGCCAATCCAACAAAAAAGCCTCAATCTCATCCTCATCCGGGAGCACACCAAAGTCTACGTCTTGTAGAAATTGGTGCAAATCTAAGTCTTCAGGGCTGTTGTAAATAAAAACACTTCTTTCTTAATGTCAGGAGTGAAAGAAGGACGGTTTCATTCAAAGTAGTCATTGAGACTATTTATTTACTCATATTCAGACTGATGTATTTAATAGACAGTGTATTGGAGCAAGCATGATAAACAAACAAGTGAATAAATAAATAAATAAGTAGTATAGTTAGATTTGTTCAAAGTTCAGACTATACGACTGATTCACAAGGCAGATTGTTGCATTGTCAGGTGCGTCAGTACAAAAGAAAAGCAATATTATTATCAAAATATTCATTGTAATATCTTTACTTAATACATAAATACACGTTTAGAAAGGACACAGGTCCATAGCCTTAATAGTGACTTGCTACAGGAGCTGTACATTGATGGTTAGAGAGAGACGCATTTGAAAAATTCTACAAATAAGCGAGCCGCCGTCCTTTGCTTCTATATCTCTGTCTATACCTTTTGCCAAGGACCGTGGCCAGATACTTCTTCACGGCCATTTGCTTCCGGTAGCGACTGTAGCTGTCCGTGAAAACCCCGTCCGAGTGACGTTTTGAGAGTGGTTCATTGTCGTCTTCTGTTGTGCTCCCTCCTCTGCGTTAGAGAAATAGGACAAAGCATTCAAGAAGCCATCAGAAACACCCGAACACAGCATTTTGTGTTTGAAATAAGTCTAATAGACGTCTAAACATAGATGGCTCGGCTAAAACAAGGCTAAATTGGGTCTGTCAGTTAAAATTTAGTACACGTCTAGGAATATTACACAATAATGACAACCCATGTGGCGGCACGGTGGCTCAGTGGTTAGCACTGTCGCCTCACAGCAAGAAGGTCGCTGGTTCAAGCCTCGGCTGGGTCAGTTGGCAGTTGTGTGGAGTTTGCATGTTCTCCCTATGTTGGCGTGGGTTTCCTCCACAGTCCAAACACATTAACTCAATTGGCCGTAGTGTATGAGTGTTTCTTGAATAAGAGTGTATCTGTGTTTCCCAGTGTTTGGGTTGCAGCTGGAAGGTCATCCACTGCGTAAAACATATGCTGGAATAGTTGGCGGTTCATTCCGCTGTGGCGACCTTTGATAAGCTAAAGGAAAATGAATGAATGACTGTGAAGTCTATCTTTTTATTTGATGCCTTTTGGACTCTTCTTAAACGTCTATTAGATTTTCACTGACCGCCCAAATTTAGCCCTGTTTTAGCCAACCTGCCTATGTTTAGATGTCTATTAGACATCTATTAAATGTTTGGTGGCAATTATGTGATATTTGTGTTTGGATTTAAGTGAGGTAATATAACTGAAACTATATATAGCTAAATAATTTGTGTGAATATTGAGGGTTAGGCAGTTAGGCATGGGCTGGTATAAGATTCTGACGGTGTGATAACCTTGGATAAAAATATCACAGTTTCGCGGTATTGTGATTACTGCTTTAAAATATATTCTTTTTAAATGTCTGGGTAAAAAAACAAAAACTTGTTTTCCTTTTGAACACAATATATGTTATTAATATATGGGGAACATTTAAACTATTTTAGAACAGTAAATGTGTCAGGCCAAATGAATTATTGACTTCTGCTGTCTTTATTTGTTTTTTAAAACGGCATATTTTCTGCCGGAGATATTGTTGTCCTAAAAAAATTTAATAAATAAATAAAAAATCTTACACATACCTTAGGAACGGTATGGCCAGCCTGATCTCACGCGAAAACATAAGTATTTTAGTTTTGCCAGTTTAGTGGCTAGTTTAGTTTTACAAAATTGTACTGTTTTAAAAAGAAGGCGTGGCACCTAACCCCACCCCTAAAACCAACCATCATATCGGGATGAACAAATCCTACTAAATTGTACGAATTAGATCGTACAATTCATACAAATTAGCCACTAAATCAAAGAGTTACGAATTGCCGTGAGATTGTGTTGGTATCGCAGAAAATCTTGACGATTTTAAAACCTTGACTTTTCCAAACCACGGTATACTTTGAAAACGGTTATCGTATGCCTATAGGCACAGTTATGTTAATTTACTCATTGTTTAAAAAAAAGTTGCAAAATTCCCGCGTTTTGCATCTGCGTCGAACACGTTCTATTGGACCAATTATTTATTCTTCCATGAATATAAAACTGAATCACTGAAAGTCTTACTGAAGGTCTACAAACCTTAAGGAATACTCTAATCAACAAATTAATTATGTGAAACCGGAAAAAAATATATAAAGTACATAAAAGAAATGACTAAAATATTTCCAAGTAAAATAAATATAAGCTACTTATATGAGAGTTAGGTAAAGAGAGCATTCAAGACAAAGCACTCAAGCCAGAACACCGGAGAAACACTCTTTCAGAAAGAGTCGTAATGAGGTAATATCACTTAAACGCATTTGTGTTAATAGTCTAATGCGTTTCAGAGGTCGGTTTAGTTGCACCTTGCGTAAAAACTTCCCGCGTTCTCAAATCGAACGTTTTAAAGTGCAGAATCGAACACGTTCTATAAGCGCGCCTTTTTCCCTCTGTTGATGTCATGAATGTCGAATTTTCGACAGAAATAAAATTTATTGAATGTCTAAACCCTGACGTAACATTCGAAAAAGCATAGTCTAATGTAAACAAAGACCTATAAGATAAATTAAGACATATAATGGATAAGTAAGAGAGAGAGAGATTAAGATGAAGATATAGTCTTTCTTACCCAACACGTTTTGCCATCAGTGTATGCAGGTACTTCCTCGCGGATAACTGGCCGAGCGCTTTCCTGTAGGCTTTATTAAACATCCCGTCAGCGTGCCTTTCCAGTCTGCGCGACAAAACGGCAGATTGTACAAACACGTAGAGATGCAAAATTAATATCTGTCATCTAATAGAACATCACAGTTGTCATGACTTTTCAGTCTCTCCAGTTCATGTCTTTGCATAAATCAGCAGGTGCACCAAATGCCTTAACGCAGAAAAACAGACCTGACCGATTACAATGATAAACATGCCTGCAATGGGAGTGTGGAGGTAAAGTATGAAGATCACCTTTTTGATGGAGGACTAAATAACGTGTATGCGTCTTCAGTGACTGTAGGAGAGCTTCGTATAGTGATCTGGTCACTGTCAAATGTTACATCCGTTAATGAGTTTCCCTCCTCATCAAATCCTGCAGTCTCCATTCTAGAACAAGACATCAAGGCATTTCATTTGTAAAAGTTACTTTAGCTATTAATGTGAAATAGATCTAGCTGACTGCACTTTTAGTTTCAACTAATTAAGGCCTTGCATTAAATATTTAAAATGCATATATTAGGCTATTATAGATAATTCAACAAATATGTCCCCAAAATGGATATATTATGACTTATCGTTTCCCTTTCGTCTGTGTAAACTGGTTTTAACACACTCGTTGAATGAAGTCCAATAGAAATGAGACTATTAGAGTTTCTTAGAATTTAGAAATAAGTGACTAGACTTTAAATATGAGTTTATCCTGCTAATGAGAACCAAATATGATTAACTGATTGATTCGTGATCATTTTAAAGCTTATTTTAGATTTGATATAGCCTAAATTATGAGATTATTTATGATCATAATGTCAGGTTATTCCAAATAAAACAATAATAAATGAAAACGTCTATTTTAAAAAGGGATAATTCACCCCAAAATGAACATTTACTCACTGATTACCCCTCGTGTACATTGTAAAAATTCCTAGTCGCCTTGAATTTTAAAGCTGAATCAGATTAACCTTATGAGTCAATTGAACTTATGTAAAACTGATTTAAAACTGCTTGCATAACTTATACAAATTAAGTTATAACATGATCAACTTAGTTTAATAAGTTACAATGCACTAAAACAGGCTGTCATGACTAAATGTTCATATTCTTTGTACAGTGTAGTTCCAAACATTAATTTCTTGAACAGAATCTGTTTTGAAGTAAGCTGAAAGCATTAAACCATTGATTTTGTTAAAAAAAACAAATAGGCTATATGGGACTCGATGGTTAGAGGTTTCCAGATTTCTTCCAAATATATTATTTAGTTTTTTTTTTAAAAAGTCAAAGAGGTGAAAGGAGGAAAAAGATGACAGAATTTTAATTTTTGAGTGAACTATGCCCAATTCCGTGATATTAACTCACATGAACGCAGTTGGGCTACTTAAAATTTCAGTTAGTTCTCAGCGAAATGTGTTCAAAGTTATAGGATTGAATATTTGTCAAGCTAATAACTTCTTTATTCATCAAATAGTTATTTGTTAGCCACATGTTTTTAAGAAAGGTAAAAACCTGTGAACATTGATTTTTTTTATAGGAAAAACAAATATGCAATATGGGAATCAAAACATATTACTTTGTGTTTAAAATAAGAAAAAAAGGTAAAGACAGGTGAGAAAATGAGAGAATTAAAATGTTTGAGTGAACTATCCCTTTAATTCCGCGATGTCTTAAATCAAGCTACTTGCATTTTAATTCGTCCTTAATAAAATGTGTTCAGAGTTACAATATTAGGTAATTGTCAAGCTAATAACTTCTTTATTAATTATAGTTATTTATTAGCCAAGTGTTTTTAAGAAAGCTAAAACCTGTAACCCTTGACTTTTATAGGAAAAACGAATATGCAATATGGGAATATGTTTATGTTGAGGTTTTCGGCTTTCTTCAAAATATATTAGTTTGTGTTTAAAATAAGAAACAAAAGTTTTTAACAGAATTAATTATTTTGAGTGAATCAATTTCCGCGATATTACTCACCTGTCTTGAATAAGCTACTTAAAAATTTCCTCAGTAAAATGTGCTCAAAGTTATAATATTATATTTGTCAAGCTAATAACTTCTTTATTCATCAAATAGTTATTTAATAGCCACGTTTTCACCGCTTAAATAACGTTTCTCGTGATCTAAACTCCAAATCCTCGCCCGTGCGTTGATATCAATGAAGCTCCGTATGCGTACCTGATTTTCGGGTAACTCAGAGGCGAACACACATTGCATTGAACTAGGAGCCCATAGATGAGGAAAGCAAGAGTCGTTTTGCTGCTCGTAATCATTCTGTAGAATAAAAACATCCATTAGTACCATATTTCTGTCTAAAAAGCACTTTCAATCTTGGATATTCCTGTGTAATAATCTAGTATAGTTGTGGTTTAACTGTTTCTAATTGCTATAAATGAAGTACGATTCCCAAAATCAAGAATTAAAATATCTGGCAGAAGTTTTGCATTTACCTGCGGCAGCGGACGGATGCTGTCCAATGTAGGCTGCGTCCAGAATGAGATGAAATTCTCCAGCTCTCTCTCTCTCTTTCTTTTTTCTCTCCCAGTCTTGCTCTTTAAACTTTTCAACGCGTCACTTTGTTACCCACAGCGTCTGGATCTTTCCTTCCTCTCTCTCTCTCTCAGGTCTTCGTAGTCGGACGGATTTGAGGCGAGATATCGTTTGTCTTCATCTCTCATTACAGTATCGCGAGTTTTATTCTTCCAGCTCTTACTTATGCACCGTTTCACTCCCCGCGTTGGAGATCGCGTCGATCCACGTCATCCTCCTTTACTATGGAGACACGACCGCAATTTCCCTTCTTCCATATACAAATATAGACCCAAATAAGTCTAATTAGGAGCCAACTGTACTTTCTGTGCTTAGATTAATTTTTTTTAAATCGTCACATAAAGATAAACAGATTGACTGTTTGTCGGTTCAGTCATTTATTTTTCAGATATTATAAAACAATCCCATTTGTAAAAGGAAAAATGCAATTATTAAAAGCTTTTCACATGCATCAATCTTTGTGTTGCATTTATAAAAACCGATTTAAAGTTTTCAATGCTGCAAGTCAAGTATTTTATAAAAGAAACTGAACTCTCACCTGTCCAGTTTGCTTAAAAAATAAATGAATAAAATTATATATATATATATACAAACACACACTCAACTGCCACCTTATTAGGTACATCTAATTAAATCAATTTTTTATGCAAATTAGGCATGTACACCTGGCCAAGGTGATCTGCTTCAGTTCAAACTGAGCATCAGAATGAGAAAGAAAGGAGATTTAAGTGACTTTGAACGTGGCATGGTTGTTGCTGCCAGACGGGCTGGTCTGAGTATTTCAGGAAATGTTGATCTACTGGGATTTTCATGCACAACCATCTCTAGGGTTTACAGAGAATGGTCTAAAAAAGAGAAAATATCCAGTGAGCGGCAGTTCTGTGGGCGCACATACCTTGTTGATGTCAGAGGAGAATGGCCAGACTGGTTCCAGCTGATGGAAAGGCAACAGTAACTCAAATAAGCACTCGTTACAACCAAGGTCTGCAGAAGAGCATCTCTGAACACACAACACGGCCAACCTTGAGGCGGATGAGCTACAGCAGCAGAAGAGCACACCGGGTGTAAGCTAAGAACAGGAAACTGAGGCTACAATTCACACAGGCTCACCAAAACTGGACAATAGAAGATTGGAGAAGCGTTGCCTGCTCTGATGAGTCTCCATTTCTGCTGCCACATTCGGATGGTGGGGTCAGAATTTGGCATCAAACATGAAAGCATGGATCCATCCTGCCTTGTATCAACGGTTCAGGCTTGTGGTGGTGGCGTAATGGTGTGGGGATATTTTCTTGGCACACTTTGGGTCCATTAGTACCAATTGAACATCGTGTCAGCGCCACAGCCTACCTGAGTATTGCTGCTGACCATGTCCATCCCTTTATGACCACAGTGTCTCCATCTTCTGATGGCTACTTCCAACAGGGTAACACACCATGTCATAAAGTGCCAATGAACTCAGACCGATTTCCTGAACATGACAATGAGTTCACTGTACTCTAATGGCCTCCACAGTCACCAGATTTCAATCCAATAGAGCACCTTTGGGATGTGGTGGAACGGGAGATTTGCATCATGGATGTGCAGCTGACAAACCTCTAGCAACATCTCCTAGGAATATTTCCAGTATCTTGTTGAATCTATCCCACAGAGGATTAAGGCAGTTCTGAAGGCAAAAGGGAATCCAACCTGGTACTAGTTAGGTGTACCTAATAAAGTGGCCAGTGTGTGTCTATATATATATATATATATATATATGTATGTATATACTGTATAGCAACAGCTTGTGTAACATACAAAATTAAGTTAGAGCATGATTAACTTAGTTTAATAAAGTTAGAATTAATCAAAACATATGTTGTCATGACTAATTGATCATATATTTGTTTACTAGTAAAATCTGGCAACACAGCCTCCTCAGATCCAAAGCCATGACTGCATGTAGACTTGTTATGGTGCACGAATGAGGAAAGAAGTACCCTTTTTCTCTGCCATTTTCCTCTAGTGCACGTACAGAGATGAGTCACGCCTCTGACGTACATTTTCAACTCGTCGTTTTTAACCTCTTCCATCATTACCAGCTTATGCAAGGTAACGGCCGTCAAAAGTATTCAAATAATCTTCATTAAAGGCATACTTCACCCCAAACTGAAAAGTACCCCATCGTTTACTCTCTCTCATGTGGTTTTAATCCTCAAAGAGTTCTAGAGTTTCTTCTGTTGACCACAAAAGAAATTGCAGGTTGCTGGCACCCATTGACTTCCATAGCAGAAAAAAAATACTAAAGAAGTCAATGGGTTTTTCACTTTTGTGTTTCACAGATGAAACTCTGTAACTCTTTAATTTAAGGTGACAGTCAAACACTTACTATAGTGATAACAATGAATTAAGCATAATTACATGCACTGTAAAAAAATGCAGGGTTGCACACAACTTGTCTTAACACAAGTCAATTAGTTAACTTAACAGATTAAAGTAAATTGAGCATAAAACATTTAAGTTGTCCCAAAAATCTCAATAATTGTATGATTCAGCTCCTTTTAAATAAGTAGTTTAAACAAGCAGCATGAATCTTAATATTTAGATAGTAGATTAAAGTCTTAATATTTAGATAATAAAGTCAAAATCACTAGAATAACCCTGACTTGCGTGTAGTCATGCATCTATACTTCACTGAAAAGTGTTGCATGCAGAACTGTCGCAAACAATTTATTTGTGTTGAATTTAAACAAATTAAGTTTAATAATGTTCAACTTAATTTGTTTGTTTAAATTCCACACAAATATATTGTTTACAACCTTTTAACGTTAAAAAAATTGAGTAAATCCAAGTAATCATCTCTGAATAATTTTTTTCAGTGTTCTGTGTGCTGTTTGTGTTGCTCTGCAATAACCCTTCTGAAACGCTAGCTGACAGTAAGATGTTTATTTTCCTCTGTGTCGAGTTTTTCCTCTGGTGTTTTGTTTTTTCTGAACGCTTCCTACAAGTAGCTCAAACTCGCTCATTCAGTGGCGGGAACCAGCAGACGCGCAACAATTTTAATTATAAGGTAAACACAAAACAAAACTTTCCATCTGGAGCGCCTACATGGGACTCGACAGTTGTAAACACTTGCTTTATCGGGCTCGTGACTCTCAGCACTACCAGTTTTTGATAATACTAAAGTGAACAATGGATCTTAGCTCTTAAGTGCATCTGTGACCTTTTTTTGCATGATTTTCTCATGCAAGATCTGTAAAGAAAAAATTATTTACTTTCACGTATTTCCAAAACTCTCTTTTGAAAGTTCAGGTAACCACAACCTCAAATATTTAATAAGACTTGGCAGCCCCTTTATTCAGAAGGCCATTGCTTACATTTAGCTTTCGAGTTTCCTCCAAATTTCATCTGAAGTGAGCAACAACGTTACCACAAGTTTGTTTGGACCGCTATACAACCACACAAATCAACAGCAAGAAGGTTGGAGCCTCGGCTGGGTCAGTTGGCATTTCTGTATGGAGTTTGCATGTTCTCCCCGTGTTGGCGTGGGTTTCCTCTGGGTGCTCCGTTTTCTCCCACAGTCCAAACACATGCGCTATAGGTGAATTGGGTAAGCTAAATTGTCTGTAGTGTATGAGTGTATGTGAGATGGGTGTTTCCCAGTGATGCGCTGCAGCTGGATAGGCATCCACTGTGTAAAGCATGTGATGGATAAGTTTGTGGCTGTGGCGACCCCTTATGAATAAAGAGACTAAGATGAAAAGAAAACGAATGAATGTTTGCGTACATATATATGCCAGTATTTAATTATGACATTTATTATGACTAAACATGACATTTCATATTTGTTTACATATGTCTCAATGTACCCTCATGTCAAATAGACTCAATGATAGACTCAAATACAGAGATTTTATTGCCTGCTGTGCTTGTTGACACTGAAAGTCAAATTGTGTGCATTGAAACAATCCAATTTCACACATCCATTAATTATAGTGCAAAATACATTTCACATTTGAAAATGTGAGCGAAGAACCCTAAACATGTGAGATCAGGACATTGTTATGAAAGCTTAGCTGGGTTTTACATTTTGAAAATAGACACACAAAAGGAAACTCATTGCTCATTTCCAAGTAGTTTCCAGAAAATCCCCGTAAATAATCCTGATTGCGTTTCTCAGACCTCTATGGTCAGCCTAAATACACACAAACACTGATATACTCTGCTTATAACTGGCAGCCAGACAGTGTCGTTGTCTTATATCCACATTTGTCCAGTGCAATAACCTGTGCTTGCTTTTATAACTCACTGAGCATATGTCTCTGTTTGCCTTAATTAGCAAAATATGCTTAATTCTGCTCTTTATGGGGCGAACATGACGTTTATTTTATGCACAAGGAAGTGTGGATAGCATACTACAGTGTCAACATGAGTGCAACATGTTTAAGCAAATATTGAGGTCATATTTCTCAAATTAAAAAGACATTTGGACATTTACATGCTCAGAGACTGTTAGCCTCCAATTATCCTGTTCCTTCCTCTGTCTGTGTATTTTACACTGCTTAAATATCACTTAAATGCCAGATTATTATGTTGACTTTAGAAACTAGCATCGTGTAAAAAAAGAGGAGTGATTCACTCAATTGTATAAGCAACATTAGCAATAGCCAAAGTCAAGAATACAGCATTGTAGCTGCAGTTAAAAACTGCTTACTAACGTTTATTAATGTAGAGTTAATGCTTAACAGATAATGAATTCACTATTTGCTAATGCTTAATAAATTATTCATAGTGTGTAGTTATTATTAAGTGTTATGCCGAGTTCAGACTGCATGATTTTCAAAGTCATCGTGTCACAGATGTTTTCACACTGCTTGACTATCTGGGCTTGCGTTTCGTCGCTGCTTTGTTTACACTGTAAGATGGATCGGCGACAGGGGCTTTCACATTGCATGACTTTACTATAGGAAGAATCGCCGACAACTTCGTCTAAACGACGTCTCACAGCCAAAAACACGTCGTATATTTTTTGTTATTAACTACATAATGAGAAAGAAGCCTTTAATGGGGTAGAACATGTACATGTTTGCTCACCTGAGTTTAAAGGGAATTAGCCATTTCTCCTCAACGTTGATAATAAACTAATTTCTTTCTGTATGAAGCGTCAAACAGACACGGTTGATCCTGAGTCCTGTCAAACCTCCACTAGTTTTCCTCCATTTCGTAGGTCCAAATAAACCGAAAAAGAGCGCTTTTAACTCCTCCCCCAGCCTCCCGCTGGCCTGCAGCAGGTATACACACACGCACACACAAGTGAATCCCGCTCTCTCATTGGCTGTAGGCGATCGCTGATGTTATTTTCAGTCAAAACTCAATTCACACGGCATGATTTGAATCACCGACAGCTCCAGATATTCAGCACGCCAAATATCTCACAGGCATCTGCGACTCATCGGCGATTCTCTCAGATCGCATCTTTGATAGTTCATACTGTGTGATTGTCACTCACGTGCACGAGCACAGATTTGCCTGTGATTTCAGTCATTTGTCGCGATTTCTCAAAACCTGTAGGCGAGCCAAAATCAGGGCTAAAATCACGCAGTCTGAACTAGGCATAACCAGCAGTTTATTGTGTAAAAATAGGTTGTGTTAAAGCATGTAAGTTTTTAAAGGTTCAGGACACCGCAGAGAATGTTTTTTTTTGTATTAACAGATGTGTGTGTGTTGAGCATCAGTTAAGACAATGTTAGCACCTGTCAGCTTTAATTGTGGGGAAAACTGGATAATGTTGAGCTTTTGTCAGCTAATTTCAGCTTCCGGGTTTAAAATGATTTTTTGGGAGGGATCAAAATCGGCGATGTAGCGCAAAACTGCAAGTGCAATGATGACGTGTCGGTTTCTCATTATTATTCATAGTGTAGTTTTCTTATCCTATGAGAAGAGCCGGCTGCTTAATTATTCATGAGACCTGCCAGAGTCAAGCCCGAGCTGTGAGACACGAACCCCCACGGCACAGTATTTAGCCGTTCATGAAGGCTCATATGCGTTTGTTTCCATCATCCACGGGGTTTGTTGCATGTTTTCCCCCGCGATCTTGTCAGGGCCGATACAGCAAAGCTGTGTGTGTGCTGCTAGTATTTTTGTCTGGAGAGCAGCACGAGAATTAGAGAATGGCGGACGCTGTCTTTTATCAGGAGTTCGTTCACATTCAGACACATCGCCGTGCTGCTGTGTTTGCCTAAATCCTCCAGATTACCAGCAGGGCTAATGGGTAAAATAGACAGGTCAGGAGACCTGCTGCACTGAGTCTGCTGGATACGGGGATTGAGGGAGAAGTCCTCATTTATAGTGTTTACATGAACACACTTATCTTTATAATGATATAAATTGTGGTTGTCTGTATATGAAATTACGAATAACAAATGTAGCAGGGCATTAAATCACTGTTCATTTCTTTGCATTTTAACTTTGTAAACTATAAACTCATGCGTCTCCTCACGCTTTGTGTCTCAGTTTGTGAGCAAACTGACAACAACAGTTGTTCGCTCACGTTCTCCCCTGCTGGCCACGCCCACTCCTGCCCGATGCTCGCTGAGCTCCACGCCCATTAATCATGCGTCTTTTGAAAAAATTCTGAAGTAGACTTTAACCGAAAGTGGGGGGTGTCATGGCCCTTTAAAAAGCCTAACAACAAAAAAGCGACAACATCTCAAATGATGTGTAAATTATAAAACTCCTGCCTGCATGATCAATTTCAGACAGCGGAAACAACAACTAAACAAGTACTGTCTTCACTGATGCAAAAGAAATGAAGCGGTTTCATCCATACTTTATTTTAAATGTTCTAAAATGTAAAATTTCAAACAAACAAAAACTAATATTATTAAGTGCATTTAAAAAAAACACAATTTAAGAGAGTTATTAGGTCTAAACAGCCATTTGCATTTTGATTGTAGGATGTGGGTTATAATCATAGATCTCAAAATCTTCAGCACAGAAATCATTAATTTGTTCAACTTTGCGTTTAATCCGGAGTTTGGGGAACGGACGCGGCTCTCGCTGAATCTGTGGACACAAAACACGTGTTAACATACTGTAATTTATAGACTTTACACCATAAAACACTTGAAAATATGAAGGCGTACTGATAAAAACATTTTATTTAGACAACTTTGATGAGTTAAGATAAAATATTCATCAAATATAGTACAAAAGGTGTCTATTTGCTTTCTATTCAAGTATCTATTTGGAGATACAGTCATTGCTAATAGGTCTCTTAAACTGATTAGACTTTATTGCCTTCCTCTAATTTTTTTCCCACACTTATTCAAAATCTATGACATTTTCATTGGTTGTTTTTCATCAGCAGTCCTTCATGTCCTTTTAAAACAAGTCTACAAATAGTGTCTGAAGTTTTCGCTCAATAGACCTCACAGATCATTAATTATACTTTATATATTACTATAATATTTTCAGTTGAAAGCAAAATGTTGCTTTAAATGTAAATAGGCTGTTAGTCTCCGCCCCCTTTTCCAAAAGAGGGTGGAGCCTTTACAGCATGTGCTTCGGTTACTGTAGCATCAATGAGTGCATCTCAACTCGATCAGGTCCACCACTGGGCAGGAAAAGTTTGCATATCGTGACATGTATAAAGACATATGTTTCCAACATACCTGCTCTTTTAAAGGCTCGATGTGATTGGTGTAGATGTGGGCGTCACCTAATGTATGAACGAAATCCCCAGGCTGCAAGGACGAAACAACAAACATGAGTACAATACACATTCAGAATTATTTCGTTTTGTTAGACTTTCTTTCTTTGTCTGATCAGTTTGGATGTACTTTTTTCTGAAAACAAGCTTTTGCATATTAATGACGATAACACAGATGTCTGAATTACTTAATTCCAAATTTCACAACTTACTACTTATTATTATTGTTTTATTGCAACATATTTTAGCATTTTAGTCCCATGTAGGGCTGCACACTGTATCCAAAAATTAGGTGACTGTCGCTTTAAATTCAAATGAGATTGTGCTCTTTTCAAAAGAAGGCGGGGCTACAAATGCCTGTGTGTCAGCATAGTGGATTTAAAAACAAGGCTAAAGTCTGATGCTAATGAGGGAGAGATCATGACTAATTGGCGGGGGCTTTCCCCGTGTGATGACACGTACAAAGGGCAATCAAAGTGTTTCTATAATAAAATGAATACATTTTTACCATTAGTCGCTGATTATATTCACACACTGCTGCCACACAACCCCTTATAAAAGTGATTTTTGCATAATAGCTCACCTTTAATGTACTAGGAAGTGTGTGTTTACCTTGAGTCCAGTGATGTGGGCGATCATGTAGGTCAGCAGGGCGTAGCTGGCGATGTTGAATGGGACACCGAGACCGATGTCTCCCGATCGCTGGTACAGCTGACATGACAACTCACCGTTCGACACGTAAAACTGACACAACGCATGACAGGGCGGCAGCGCCATCAGAGGGAGATCTGACAATACAGTTTAAAGAGAAAATGCATTTAATGTGACATGTTTAGTTTCAGTGCGATGCGATACTGTCATTATTGTTGATTACTTAAATATATATATATATATATATATATATATATATATATATATATATATATATATATATATATATATATGCTTGTGAATTGAAGAAATTTCATTGGTTTTACATTTATGTATTACATTATTTTACATTATGTAAACTGCGATGGCGTGTTAGTGCCGCATACAAATCTAGTTATGAGGATACATAAATAACAGTTCGAGAATTAAGCCAAATTCAAGAGTAAACTGTAAGAAAAATGCTATAATTTATTATGGGAAGTCAAAAGTTTCAAGAATAAAGTTCTAATATTATGAAAATAAAGTCCGTTACATATAATCTTGACTGTACTCTTGTAATCTTAGATTTTTTTTTAACAAGGCACTAAAAAACCCAAAATGTTTTAAATTAATACGCAAAATAAGTACTATAGCTGCTAGAACAATTAATGAATGATCTGCTATTGAAATAGAGCCTAAACAAACAAAAACAATTAGATAAAATACATCTTGCAAACTTACATGAAGTTGTTCTTAAATACTAAAATCATTAAACTGTCAACAATTCTACTGTTAACAAAAACTGCAAACTAAAAATAAGAAGACTTTTCAGCAACAAGCTGCATTAAAATAAAAACATCACTTCATTTTTGTAATGAAATCTGGATTATTTAAAAGTGCTAAATTACTGAACTTATAACTAAGCAAACTATAAATATAAGAACAATAACGACAGAAGTACATATAAGACTTAAATATAAGAGTTAAAAGAAAAATATCTAAAAAATAAAAATGTACTACTATAATAATTTATATTATAACAATATTCCTATAAGGTAGTACTGGATATTCAGTGCAAGAATAGAATAGAACAGAATAGAGCAGAATTAAGCAGAACTGAATAGAATCAGAATAGAATTAGAACAGAGCAGAATAGAATTAGAATAGAAGAGCAGAACAGAAAAGAATTAGAACAGAGCAGAATAGAACAGAATGGAACAAAATAGAGCAGAACAGTATAGAATTAGAATAAAACCCAATAGGACAGAGCAGAATAGAATTAGAAAAGAAGAGCAGAACAGAATAGAGTTAGAACAGAGCAGAATTAGAATAGAACCGAACAAAACAGAGCACAATAGAATTAGAACAGAGCAGAATTAGAATAGAACCGAATAGAACAGAGCAGAATTAGAATAGAATTAAAATAGAAGAGCAGAATAGAGTTAAAACAGAATAGAATTAGAACAGAGCAGGACAGAATTAGAACAGAGCAGAATAGAACAGAATGGAACAAAATAGAAATAGAACAGAAGAGCAGAACAGAATAGAATCTGAACAGAATAGAATTAGAAGAGAACCGAGCAGAACAGAATAGAACAGAGCAGAATAGAACTAGAATAGAAAAGAATTAGAATGGAACTGAACACAATTTAACAGAAATAAAACAGAACAGAATAGAGCAGAACAGAATAGAATTAGAAACCACAACAGGGTTAAGAATTCCACTCAGACCTTTAGGATTCCAGGCACACATGATGATCCTTCGGTCCTCTGGGTTTGACTTGATGGTGTCAATAACTTTCTGTAACTGATCGACTCCTTCTCCAGAATAATCTTAATGAAGAGAAGAAATCACATCCTGATTTAAACACCAATTCTTATAGTCTGTACAGTAAAAGTGAAGTATTTGCAAATTGTACACATTTTCCAAACTTTCAATTGAGAATGTTTTATAAGCTGCATAATAATCCTGTAACGGTTTTAAAATGTAGTTTAACATATGTTAATATTACTCCAATGCATATTCTTTCTAGTATGAATTAACATGTTGTTAGCATGAATTAGCAAGTTGCTAGAACAGAAAATAAAGCAAAAAAACTGTTTATACTACTAGACTGTTGAATCCTTGATTGTTATTGGCTAATATAAAGGTGTGGGTTTATTTTCATATAAATGCACAGCTAAAGTAGTTCCGGCAGGTTTTGAGCACATTACAGCACCATATCACTACGCTGAAAACTAAAACTGTCAAAAATCTTGAACAACAATTATTAGCACAATAATAATGCACCATCTCTGCTTCACCACCTCAGGTGTGCATTATTATCTGATAATTCAATGGCCCATTGTCAACTACTCAGTACTTATATTACTGTACAAGGCTGTTGAATGCCTGATTCTGATTGGCTGATGAGCATTCTTAGGTGTGCAGTTATTTTCAGATAAATGGACAGATAAAGTAGTGCCGGCAGGTTTTGAGCGCATTACAGTTCAATATCACTACGCTGAAGGAGTTGAGTTATTTCACAGCTACAACAGTCAGAAATCACTGGAGGAGATGTGTGTGAAACTAGTGCAGCACACAGGAGCAGTTTGAGGACAAAAACCTGACAATGGTCTGAAATATAACATCTGAACAGTGGCTGCAGCTGTGAACTATGCATAAGCAGAATAATTGACTCCAATACATTGAAGTATTAGAAAATAATGCATAGAAACCACCTCAGGTGTGCATTAGTTTCTAATAATTAAACAGGACTGTTGTAAATTAATCTCATTTACTACACAGCTCTCTAAAAAGCTAAATATTGTTTCATTTTCAATATCAGAAAGGTTACCAGTATGCATATCTTTGTATTCGGCTCCAAAATGCCTCCACTGAAATCCATAAACTGGACCCAGATCTCCTTCCTCCCGATCGGTGAATCCGTTCTTATCCAGAAACTCTCTGGAGCCGTTAGCATCCCAAATCCTCACACCCTTCTCCGACAGATCTTTGGCGTTTGTTGAACCCTGAATTGAAGAAATAAAAAGCAATTCAATGCAAAAAAAAAGACAAATTTCATGACCAAAAAACAACACTACATTTACATATATTTCTAAATAAATAAAAACAAAACGTTTGCGATATTTCCCACCTTGATGAACCACAGCAGCTCCTCCAATATGCCTTTCCAGAAAACTCTTTTGGTCGTCAGCAACGGAAACTGATCTGCAAGGTGCACAATGAGCACAGCTTATGATCAGACTGTGTTTTATAAACGTTTCAGCGTTGGGGTAGACGTTAATGAAAAATAAATTGATCATTTAATGAATAATATATATAATTCTCGAAATAATTACCGTTTTTACAATACTGTGAGGAGTGGGATAAGTGTAGATGTTAAATTATATAAATAAATCTCGCTATAATTTCTGTTTTTTTACATTACTGTGATGGTTGGGGTAGGGTTAGACATTAATAAACATTATTCAATGGGTATTTTAATAAATAATATGAATAATTCTCATTATAAATACTGTTTTTATATTACTATGATGGTTGGGGTAGGGGTAGACGTTAATAAAACACAATTTAATAGACAATTTAATAAATATGAACATTTTTTGTTATAATTATTGTTTTTACAATACTGTGATGGTTAGGGTAGGGGTAGATGTTAATAAAACAATATTTAATGGGTAATTTAATAAACAATATGAATAATTCTCGTTATAAATACAGTTTTTACATTACTGTGATGGTTGGGTTTGGGTTGGACATTAATAAAACACTATTTAATGGGTAATTTAATAAATATTATGAATTATTCTGATTATAAATACTGTTTTTTACATTATTGTGAGGGTTGAGATAGGGATAGACATTAATAAAACAGAATATTAAGGTTAATTTAATAAAATATGAATAATTCTCCTTATAATTGCTGTTTTTACATTATTGTGAGGGTTGAGATAGGGATAGAGATTAATAAAACAGAATATTAAGGTAAATTTAATAAACAATATGAATAATTCTCGTTATAAAAGCTGTTTCTACATTACTGTGAGGGTATGTGTAACGTCAGGGATAACGTTAGACGTTAATAAACCCCAATTTAACGGATAATTGAATAAATATTATGAATAACTCTCTTTATAATCGCTGTTTTTACATTACTTTGGAGGTTGGGATAGAGGTAGATGTTAATAAAACACAATTAATGGATAATTCAACAATATAAATAATTCTTGTTAACTTCCGGCCGCAGCTGTATCCCTTCTAGCAACAACCATGATCTCCCAGTAGGCTTGCATTCATTTGATTTATAAAGCTCACCAGTGAGATTAAATGCAATGACAGTGTATTTAACAGATGTGACTGACCTCTGAGACTGTATCTGGCTTGTGTCCCGAACACAGAGATCACTCCTGTGCCTGTCCTGTCGCCTTTCTTTGCTCCATTCTGCAAAATAAACTCCACCAGACTCAAATACCCGCGCTCGTCGCAAAACAGAGAAAACTCCTTTTTCCCTCCGTTTGTTTCTTTCTTGCTTTCTCCGTTAACGCAATGTCCATTTGTCACTTCCACTGCCGTGTCGGGCATTTTCCTCAGCTGAGATGATGGTTAGTTTTAAAACAAAGTGAAATATACGGCAGCGAAATCCTGCAGCACAACAAGGGCGATGGAGCTTTTGCCGCGAAACTGTTCGTCTTCTTCTTCTTTTAGATTTTTGGCGGGTAACAGTCAGACATCTTGAAAAGTCCATACCGCCACCTATAACACTGGAGAGTGGACGAGACTTGCAGGGTTGCCAGGTGTTTACATCAAAACGAAAGCAGTGGCCAGGCAAAACTAATTTAAAAACTAGCCTAGTGATACCAAAACTCAAAATATGCCACTCATATATCCCTTAAAAAACATATTTTACCTTATTGTATGCATTATGTTAGTTTACTTTTTATAACCCTACTAAAACTAAAAAATCCAGCTTAAACCAGCCTAGGCTGGTTGGCTGGTTTTAGTTGGTTGACCAGCCTGGTTTTAGAGGGGTGTTGGCCATTTCCAGGCTGGTTTTCAGCCATTTACAGCCTGGTCTTAGCTGGTCAGGCTGAAAAATGACCAGCTTAATCCAGCTAAAACCAGCTTGACCAGCCTGGTTTAAGCTGGACATAGCTGGTTTTGGCTGGGCTCTCAGCCTGGCTAGGCTGGTCAAGCTGATTTTAGCTGGTCATCTCCCAGCCTGACCAGCTAAGACCAGGCTGGAAATGGCTGGAAACCAGCCTGGAAGTGGCCAAAACCCCTCTAAAACCAGCCTGGTCGACCAGCTAAAACCAGCCAACCAGCCTAGGCTGGTTTAAGCTGGATTTTTCATTAGGGAAATCACTGTACTATTAATCAAAGATTATTTCATGTGTCTCTCCATGTGCTGTCCATTTCAAGTCCATGTAAAATCAAAATTTAGCATTTTTATTTTGCTAGCTTACAGTAGTTATTCTTTGGGTGAACAATTAATCCATACAAATTAATCCACAGATAAAAATGTTTGTTTTGATAATCTTCTATCAAAGTTTGACTATTTGTTCCTGCGCTTGTGTAGCGGAGGCCGGCTAGTGAGTGCTGTGCAGGTAAACCTCACTGCTCTGACCTCTAAAGGTGCTCTAGCGAAAGACACTAGAGGCTATTGTCTTTAGCCTCCTTGTTAGAGCAACTGACTCTCATGCGGAAGGTCGCCGGTTCGGTCCCAGCTAGGAGCGAATTGGGTGGCATAGTACCGGCAGGGTTACACTTTTTTTTAATTTTTTTTTATTATAGTTTTGAAACATTACATAAAGTAAAAATACAATAATTCAGATATATATTATATCCATAAACATTAATATAGTTACAAGATCCAAAAATGATAAAGTAAATATATAACAGGAGAGAAAAAATTAATAAAAAACTGCAAAAAAAAATAAATTAATTAATTAATAAATAAGATAAAAACATAAAAATATTACAAAATACTTCTATACATATAAACTAAAATAATAACTTAGGATACAATCATCGACTACAGCGGGGGATCAGAACTAGAAAAAAATGTCTTCATGAAATCTAACATTAAATCACTCTTTTTGTTTTTAATTTGCATTAGAGACTTTTTCAGATTTTTCATTTCTAATAAAAAAATATTACATTTTGGTACACATTTCACAAATTTCTGTTTATGTATAAAATATTTACCATGTAAAATGTAGAAGTTAACAACATACTCAAATGTTCTTTTTGTGTGTGACAAAGTGCAAATCACATCTTTTAAAGATAGCCTGTAATTAACATTTCTTTGCCCAAATAACACGTCACTAACATCATTCCAAAATTTACGAGAGGCATCACAGTTATAGAAAAGATGAGATAAGTCTTCCTCATGTATATTACAAAATGTGCAAGTACTCTCAATATCCATGAATTTAGATAAAGTTGCTTTGCAAGGATACATTTTGTGAAGTATTTTAAAGTGCACTTCTTTAACCTTATTTAAAAGGTCCGGCAGGGTTACACTTGGAGTGGCAGTTTGTCCCAGTGTGACATATTCAAATACAAGATTCTTAACCACGCCCCATTAACGTTAGTTTGCATGAGGGAACTATGCACAAAACAAAAACCCTGCCCCTATTTCCTTCCACCTCACAAAAGTGTGCTTATATTCTGTTTCATCATTCTAGCACACTTTTTATCACTGCTAATAAGTAAAGCTTGTGCCATAAAATATGTACTGCTGAATATATTTATTGCAATAAACCAAAAGGAAAAAACAAACTTGTAGAGTTAGACTTGGCAACACACTGGGGACATGTTTAGACATGTTCAGAAAATGTGTTTTCAAGTTAAAGGAGTGGACAAAATCTATAATTAAAATACTCCTACCATTTACTCACCCTCAGTTTGTTGTTGCTAAACCTGTATGAGTTTCTTCTGTTGAACATAAATACAGTGTTTTGAAAAATGTCACCATTGACTTTTATAGAAAGGGGGCGAAATATTATCGAGTCCATGGTGACTATGAACTGGAAGTGTTGATTTGGAAGTACTCATTGAAAAATTAAAAGTGAAATACAGCTTTTATAATTTTTTATTCTTGTACATTAGAATGTGTTATGTTTATGAGCAAAAACAATTGTTTATAAAGTTTATACGCAAGTATATAATATACACAAGTAGGCTACGTTATATAGGTTTATACACAAAATCATATTTAGAGTAAGAATAGTTTTATTTCTTATTAAAAGCATCACAGCGCAGTGCCAAAATACGCAATACACACTGTTATTTTGACAACAAAGTCACAACTATTGGTCATCGGTAAATGTATTGTACTATTATGCACATATGGCTCTAGAATTTGAACACAGTTACTAATATAACGTCTTTGATTTTGCCCACCAGTCTGGAGAAAAACTGAGTTATATTTTCTCAGCCAGGGGCTTGTCGACCCCTAGTGGTTCATGACATAAAATATCAGCATGTTCTTTAAAATAGTGGGTATGTAATACATACATTTTATTAAGATTTTTATTTTCATAATATAATATCAAATTTATCTCATGATATGACCAAAAATATATACCAATTAAACTAAATATATAGCCAAATTTACTGGGGGATTGAGAATAACTGATTGGCACCATAAAAGACTAACCATAGTCTTTCAGGTATTAATTAATTCATTACCTTCAACACTGAGTTCAAAACTCTTTTCAAATGAGTAGAACTTTCAGTCATTTTTAAGTTAACTACACCTATTTCATTTGATAAAGTGTACTGTTGGGTTTTACAGTGTTATAAGCTAATTTGTTTATATTACAACCGTTATTGTATTATCATAGCAGATATTACTGAATTACATCAACGAATTAATTCAAGTACTTTACTATAGTATGTTTTAAAAAGTCACAACAGTATTTATTTTCTATCCATTACTCTTTGTTCTGCTCGGTTTGTTTCGTCTGGAGCTCATGATCTGCCCTCTGCGCATGCGCGATCACATGTTGCTGTGTTGTTATTGCCAGTGCTCTACAGTACAGTCAGTGAAGGGCAGACAGCACACACTCACAGAGTCGACCTGGATTATATAGACTCGGACTGGATGGCAGGATGACATGCTCAGATGAGAACACACTGATTCAAACAAACAGTCGCTTTTTACGCGTGTTATTAAAGCTGTCGACGTATTTCAGTCCGCGTCAGTCCAGCTGAGATGATGATGATGGACGCGCATCTGTGGGATCATCTCCAGGCTGGCAGCTCCGAGGTGGACTGGTGTGAAGGGAATTACCTTATTTATCCGGGAATTGCGGAATTTTATAACACGGTACGTCGCTCAGATGTTTCTTTGTTCGGTTGTTGTGTCACTTTGGGTCGCGCGCGTTTGAACGACTGGCAGTTGAAGTCTGTAACTGTTGAACTTTGGAGCAGCTCAATATCCAAAACAAAAGAGATTAACAACCCTTTATTGTTATTATGCTGTAAAATAATAACAAATACAAATACAGATTTGAAATGTAAGACAATGAGGGTTACATACATTAAACCAAGACTAATTTAACGTTATTTTGTATTATTTTGAACCATAGTATCGTTATAGTAGCGTAACGTAACGTATCGTTAAATTAACCTTCTGTTGTGGTAACTAGTAATTCTATGGTAATACAGTAACTACAGGAATACAAACCGATTACCCAAATAACATAAGGTTAGTTTTCTATTTTAAAATTAATAACTACAACACACCAGTAAAAACTAAAGTATACTACAGTATTTATTACAGTTATCAGTTCACTTTAGTAATTTTTTTTTCTATCTGTGAACGTTGGAGATGTTCGACAATCAAAACGAGATTAACAACCCTTTTCATTGTTATAATGTGGTGAAATAATAACAAATACAAATACAGATTTGGAATATAAGGCAATAAGGGTTATATACATTAAACCAAGACTATATTGTATTATTTTGAATTATATAGTACCGTTATAGTAACGTAACGTAATGTAACTTCTGTTGTGGTAATTCTATAGTTGCTATGGTGATACAGCAACTATAGGAATATAAACCGATTACCTAAATAACGTAAGGTTAGTTGTTTTATTTTACTACAATACACCAGTAAAAACTTAAGTATACTACAGTATTTATTACAGTTATCAGTAACACTTTAGTATTTTTTTTCTCTCTGTAAACTTTGGAGATGCTTGACAATCAAAACAAGAGATTAACAAACTTTTTTATTGTTTTTATGCAGTAAAATAACAAATACAATTACAGATTTAAAATATAAGACAAAGAGGGTTACATACATTAAAATAAGGCTATATTGTATTATTTTGAACCATATAACATTAGCACTGTTATAGTAACGTAATGTAACGTAACGTTGAATTAACCTCTGTTGTGGTAACGTTAATTCTATAGTTGCTATGGTAATACAGCAACTAAGAATATATATCCGATTACTCAATTAACGTAAGGTTAGTTTTCTATTTTACTACAATACACCAGTAAAAACTTAAGTATACTACAGTATTTATTACAGTTATCATTTCAGTATAGTAAACTTTTTCTGTCTGTGAACTTTGGAAATGCTCGACAATCAAAACAAGAGAATAACAAACCTTTCTATTGTTATTATGCTGTAATATAATAAGAAATGTTTTGTGTACTGATATGTCTACAAAACAGTTCTTAATTCAACTTTTTATATGAACCCACTATTATTTGTTGGAAAGTTGTGTATATAAGTTCAATTATACTAAATGTAAACCAAATTTTGTATTTTTTAAACGAGAATCCTATCTGTACTTGAATACAATTTCAGAGTCTCTTAACAAGAAAGCATTTAAACCTTATAAAATGTGCTTTATTCAATATTTTGCATTAGTTTGTATTATTTTTTTTAACTTTTTCAATTTTTATATATTTTTCTCACTTTCTTTTTCTTTGCCATACCATTGTAATACTTATTTAAAATTGTCATTCACTTTTCGTGCAAAAAGTAATATTTGCATTGTTTGTATTATACCTATTTATACATATTATTACTTATTTTTATGTATTTTCATTGTAATTGCCTGTTATTGTAATAAAAACAGTGTGTGTTTACAGTTATATATAGAGAGAAAAGAGGGTAAAATCGAGAGAAAGACATTTTAATTAGCAACAAAATATGATCAATGCACTTTAGTTTCCCTGGATGCATTTCCTGAGAAATAATTGTGTACATAAATACAGTACTTCTTGAACAGTTTGACTGTTTTTTTTAATCAATGACAACAGATGCTTTTTTTTACATATTTAAGTGTATTTCTGTGGTTTGCCATACAAACAATTTTAAATCCGGCTACTAATAAAATGTGTAATTTATTGAAAAATAACCTTTAACAAACAATTCTAGGGAAAAATAATGTCTTGTATTTAATCAGAAGCATTTTTGTGTTGCATAAAGGATGTTTTTTTTTTCTAAGAAGCTAAACATAATATTAATATTTTACTGTTTAAGATAAAATTATAAGCCATCGTGTGAAATGTTAATTCATTCAACTGTACAGTATATCACTAAACCTTTTATACCAAAAACTCACACAGGCAGGTTAATAAATCTGAGATCTGTTAATAATTAAATGAATATTATTGTTTGACAAGCTGTTGAAAGGACATTGGTCTACAAATAAGTTAGTGTTTGATAAAAATAGTCTGCAGAAACACTTTGATTGGCATTCTCCCATGTGTCATCAGAGGGGGAAAGCCCAGCCCATTAGAGACCATCTCTCCCTTATTAGCATAGGACCTTTGTCTTTTTTTGAATGCCACTATGCTGACAAACAGCTATGTGTAGCTCCACCCTCTTTTGCAAAGAGCCCCATCTCATTTAAATTTAAAGCAACAGTCACCAAAATGCCACAATTAGAATCAAAAGGGTCAGTTTCAGAGAATCATAAAACATTATTTTACAGCTGAAACTTCACACTCTCTAAGGACACTAGAGACTTGCATCTTATAAAAAAGGAATAATGTGTGCCCTTTAAATTATACAAAGCAAAAAACCTTGCTATTCTATATTACTAAACATTTTATAATAAATTATTTAAATAAAAAATGCACAAAAATACAATGGTATGTTCTCTCTTCTTTTGGGGAAATCGGAAAACTCTTGCATAAAATGTTGTAAGTTGTCATAAACTGTTTTCAAAGCTGCTTCTGTCTTTTTTCCAGATAAGCAACGTGCTGTTTTTCGTGCTTCCGCCGATCCTCATGTGTCTGTTTCGTCAGTACGCCACACACTTCAACAGCGGCATCTATCTGATATGGACTCTGCTGGTGGTTGTCGGTAAATCTGATCACTCTTTATTTATTTTTTTCTTCCTCCAGCTGTTGATTGACCGACAGTAACCTCTTGCTGAAGTCATGTTGTTTAGCATATTACTGAACTCCAGTCTTCCTCCTTTTCTGGAAATATTGCTGGTCTTCAGGAAATAGCTGAGCTGTGCAGGAAGGGCCACTGAAGGAAATGCGTTATCTCTGAGAAATTAAAGTGTGTTGCCCAAAATTCTTCAGTGTGTGTGAAACATGAGCTGTTCTGATTACCAGTATTACTTCACATTTGTTCCCAAGGTTTCCTTATTATATTTGTGTTACATTTGTATGCAGATGTGGACAAAATTGTTGGTACCCTTCAATTTTATCCAGGCCAGTTTCATTAGTTTGCGTTTTTAAAGCTTTTGTTGAACCACAATCCGAAAGCAATATCTGTTTTTCATTAGTGTCATTATTTTCAGTAATTTCTGATTGATCAATCATTATTTATTCTGCCTTAAGCTATTTCAGTGACCTTTGTAGTCGTTCTTTCCTCACTGAAAGGGTACCAACAATTTAGTGATTTTATTTATTCATTCATTCATTTTCTTTTCAGCTTAGACCCTTTGTTAATCTGGGGGCGCCACAGTGGAATGAACCGCCAACTTAACCTCCAACATTATTACTTTTAAACTCTATTTATTTCATATTCTGTATTTATCTATATTTATCTCTTATATAATAATATTTATCAGTATAAGAAGTAAGTAGTAGTATATTAATTTTAAATAAATATGTATTTTTATAAATTTTTTATTTTATTAATATTTATTTCATATTCATACATTCTTAATCAAACATTTGCCCAGACATTCTCAAGAAATATGATCACATAAGTACATTTTTGAGACAGTCATTTACATGTTGTGTATGTGTGTGTGTGTGTGTGTGTGTGTGTATATACATATACATACATACATTATTATTAATTGATTGATTTTACAAAAATTGTACTATATACAGTTATTATTAACCCCTCTTTGAATTTTTTTCTTTTTTAAATATTTCCCAAATGATGTTTAACAGAGCAAGGAAATTTTCACAGTATGTCTGATAATATTTTTTCTTCTGGAGAAAGTCTTAAATTTGTTTTATTTCGACTGAAATAAAATCAGTTTTTAATTTTTTAAACACCATTTTAAGGTCAAATTATTAGCCCCTTTAGGCTATTTTTTTTCTCGATAGTCTACAGAACAAACCATTGCTATACAATAACTTGCCCTAACCTGCCTAATTAACAAAATTAACTTAGTTAAGCCTTTAAATGTCACTTTAAGCTGTATAGAAGTGTCTTGAAAAACTTCTAGTCAAATATCATTTACTGTCATCATGGTAAAGATAAAATAAATCAGTTATTAGAGATGAGTTATTAAAACTATTATGATTAGAAATGTGTTGAATAAATCTGCTCTCTGTTAAACAGAAATTGGGGAAAAAAATAAACCAGGGGGGCTCATAATTCAGAGGGTCTAATAGTTCTGACTTCAACTGTACATATTATTGTGATATGAGATAAATTTTTTATTTTGTGATGTAGGATTTTTGTCATGTTGCCCAGCCATATTTGATTCTGCTTATTAATATGCTCTTGTATGGACTTATAAAGGTTTAGACGGTCATCTGGGATTTGTGACTTTTAGCCATGAAACCGTGTGTGTGTGTGTGTGTGTGTGTAAAGCTCAGCGGCGCTTGTGTTTGTGGAGCATCATGGGAAAGCAGCCAGCTCAGCACAAACGCCGCTCTGTACAAACGTCTTCAGAGTTTTTCTGCTCTAAAAAGAAGCTGCTGACTTAATTAATCCGGCTGGGATTTTGAGTTAAAATTCTCCTCGGCGTCATATAATACAGTGAGTTTAGTCAAAGGATTAAAGGCAGACAGAGCTGAATTCATGCATCGCAGACCTCAAAGAGCCGTTCATGATGACGAACGTCTTTCAACAACACTGTGAAACCGCTGTTTATTTTACCAAAATAACTCAATACCCTCTTTTTGTATTTTGGTAATTTAAAAAAAAATCATTTCACAACAGCTTGAGATTTTCCCAGAGATGGGTTGCAGCTGGAAGGGCATCCGCTGCGTAAAACATACGCTGGATAAGCCGGCGGTTCATTCCGCTGTGGTGACCCTGGATTAATAAATGGACTAATTTGAACAGAAAATGAATGAATGAATGAATGAATAAGCAGCTTGAAATGATTAAACTACATTGTAAAATGTATTAGTTGACTACTTTAAAACGTGAGTAAACTAGTTTTTAAAGTGATTTACAGTTGAAGTCAGAATTATTAACCACCCTGGATTATTCGTTTATTGTTTCACCATTATCTCTTAAAAGAGATAGCAGATTTCTTCAACACATTTGTAATCATAATAGTTTTAATATCTCATTTCTAATAACTGATTTATTTTATCTTTGCTATGATGACAGTAAATAATATTAGACTAGATATTCTTCAAGACACTTCCATACTGCTTAAAGTGACATTTAAGGTTAGGCTAGGGTAATTAGGTTAACTAGGCAGGTTAGGGTAATTAGGCAAGTTATTGTATAACCATGGTTTGTTCTGTAGACTATCGAAAACAAATATAGCTTAAAGGGGCTAATAATTTTGACCTTAATTGTTTTTTTTAAATAAAAACTGCTTTTATTCTAACCAAAATAATACAAATAATACTTTCTCTAGAAGAAAAAATATTATCAGACGTACTGTGAAAATTTCTTTCCTCTGTTAAACATCATTTAGGAAATATTTAAAAAAGAAAAAAAATCAAACGGGTATATATATATATATATATATATATATATATATATATATATATAAACACTAATCTCTGCCTTGTTGATTAATCATGTTAAAGCATGATGCATTGTGCAATAAATGTTTTAATACAGTTTTGTGTTATAATTTGATTGCTCTCCTTTAGGCATCGGCTCCACTTATTTCCATGCGACCCTGAGCTTTCTGGGTCAGATGCTGGATGAGTTGGCCATACTGTGGGTGCTCATGTGTGCCATCGGCATGTGGTTTCCCAAGAGATACCTGCCCAAGATATTCAGAAGAGACAGGTACGCTAGCAGATACATACAGACATCCAATTATACTGCGGACAGAGGTGGTTTCAGGATTGTATAGCCCCCAATGAGGCACATTTATATTTATATAATATAAAATAAAATGCTAAAATAAAATAAAGGGACTATTTTTAACAGCAGATGGCGCTCTAGGCTAGTGTTTAACAGCAGATGGCGCTCTAGGCTAGTGTTTAACAGCAGATGGCGCTCTAGGCTAGTGTTTAACAGCAGATGGCGCTCCAGGCTAGTGTTTAACAGCAGATGGCGCTCCAGGCTAGTGTTTAACAACAGATGATGCTCTATGCTAGTGTTTAACAGTAGATGGCGCTCTAGGCTAATGTTTTACAGCAGATGATGCTCTAGGCTATATTTTAACAGCAGACGGAGCTCTAGTTTAGTTCTTACGGCCATGATGGCAGTCACTGGCTGTTTCCGAAATCCCCTACTATTTGATTAGGTACTAAATTGGACTTTTAATTTACTACACGGCCATTAGAAAAGTATGTTTTATATATTCTGTTGTAGTATGAATGTTACTTGGATGTACTACATTCAAGGCTAGGCTAAATGCTCTCTTAAGAATCTTGCCCGAAGTCGTAGGTCATCCAGGTACTTCTCGGCTATTGTTTTTCGAATACTATGAATTCAGACATACTACTCGACTCGCATACAGTTTTTAACATACTATATAGTATGGAAGTATGCAATTTGGAATGCAGCCACTGATTTTCTCAACATTATGTTTTCTCCGTCACCAGGTCGAGGTTTAAAATGGTCATCGGTGTGCTCTCAGGCATCACCACCTGTCTGGCGTTCATCAAGCCAGCGATAAACTCCATCACTCTGATGACGCTGGGCATCCCGTGCACCGCACTGCTCATCACTGAGCTCAAGAGGTCAGAGCTCCTGTAAAAACCCACACACACACACTGCACACTCATCAGGCCCTCAGAGAGCTCCATCTTATCACATTACATATTTATTGCTGTGCACATTCATTTGAAATCACAGGGACGAGTCTCTATATATAGCCTCTAGTCTTGCTTTATGTGTCGGTGTACTGTCACGAAATGCACATTTTAAAGGCAGCCTCATTTTATTTGCAGTCTAAATTTGATTTAACTACATATTACTTGTCATAAAATGTAACTCAAAGCATTGTTCAAATGTTATAAATTATATTACAAAATAATATATACACTACTGGTCTATTGTTTGTGATCATTGAGACTTTTTTATTGTCTTTTGTGCACACCAATGCTGCATTTATATGATAATAAAAAACAAACAATTAAAATACATGCCGTAAAAGGCTTATGAGACTGGAGTAACAATGCTGAAAATATAATGCATAAGTTACATTATAAAATATTTAGAAATTTAAAACTGTTGTTTTAAATTGAAATAGAGTTTCACAATTTTACTGTTTAGCTTTTATGTTTAATCAAATAAATGAAACGTCTTTCAAAATATTAAAAAGTCCAACTCATTCCAAACTGTGGTGTACCTAAATTGAATACTTGATAGAGTTATGGGAGTCTATTTCCATGCCAGTCAAATATAGATATGCAATATTATTAATATGAGGTACAACTATGATAACTTAATTTTAGAGTACTTTTTGTTGAACCTAAATGCATTGAAAAGGATTTACACTACATTAAAATATTCTGTTATATCAGTTCTGTTACAAACGTGAAACAAAATAACTTTAATTATTAATGATGATGCTCTCAAATGATTAAACATGATTAATTCTGCATCCAAAAAAAGTTTATATATATATATATATATATATATATATATATATATATATATATATATATATATATATATATATATATATATATATAATTATTTTTTTTTTTTTTTGCTGCACCATCACACAAGTAGCAGTGTGATATGGCTGTGTATTGGCACTGGTCTTGGTTGAAGGCTGCAGGCGGAGTGTCTTAGTGTCTTAGCTGTATAGAAGTGTCTTGAAAAATATCTAGTCAAATATTATTTACTGTCATCATGGAAAAGATAAAATAAATCAGTTATTAGAAATGAGTTATTAAAATTATTATGTTTAGAAATGTGTTGAAATATCTGCTCTCTGTTAAACAGAAACTGGGGCAAAAATAAACAAAAGGGTCTAATAATTCAGGGGGGTTAATAATTCTGACTTATATACATATCCACGTGCAAATAATTTATATATACATAATAAACACAATGCACACACATATTATAAGAAAAAAACTTTTATTCTGTATGCAATTAATTGTTTGTCACCACTAATTAAAACACTACATACATTTTACATTACAACAAAAAATGTATTGTTTTTGTATCTTTGTCAGCACATCAAAATAAATGCAGTCAAAACACCAAATACTATTCAAACATAGCAATTTAGAGTAAAACTCTTATTTTGACATTACCTAACTCTTTCTCTTGGACATTAGGTCCTTCACATAATAAATTCCTGCTTGTTTTCGAACTGTCTTCTGAACTTTGAGCATAAAAACTTGAACAAAACAGACAGTGTGTTTGTCCTAAAACAACACCACCCTGATACTGTTTGTCCTTTCTGAGAGTCAAAGTGACGCTTGTTCTTTAGCACACATGCCTGAAATGGTCTGGCGTCAGGAAACCCGTCCCATAATCTGTCCAGATGTGCTCAGAGTTCATGCATTAGCTCTGCAGATGAAGAAACAGGCTTATCAGCGTCTTCCTGAGAGCGAGATGCTCTGCTGTGGTTTTCCTGATAGTGCTTCTCTGTGTGCGTAACTGCTAGAAGAGGCTTTATCTTACAGCAGACCATGAGTTTGTAGTTTAGTGCTGCAGTTACACCAGACAACAGTGTGCTTAAAGGGATAGATAGTTCACTCAAATATGAACATGTCCCTCACACACAAAAAAAAGCAGCCATTGACACCCATATTAGGAATCTTCTTTTGTGTTCAATGAAAAATAAATAAATAAATAAATACATTTTATATGGCGGCACGGTGGCTTAGTGGTTAGGACTGTTGACTCACAGCAAGAAGGTCGCTGGTTCGAGTCCCGGCTGGGTCTGTGTGGAGTTTGCAAGTTCTCCTCGTGTTTTCTCGGGGTGCTCCGGTTTCCCTCACAGTCCAAACACATGCACTATAGGGGAATTTGTTAAGCTAAACTGGCCGTAGTGTTCGAGTGTGTTTGTGAATGAGTGTGTATGGGTGTTTCTCAGTACTGGGTTGCAGCTGGAAGGTCATCCGCTGTGTAAAACATATGATGGAATAGTTGACGGTTCATTCTGATGTGGTGATCGCTGATAAATAAGGCACTAAGCTGAAGGAAAATGAATGATTGTGTGTGTATATTATAATTTACTCAATGTCAATGAAGTTTAAAGGGTTCAATCATATTATAATATATACATTATAAATATCTTCAGAGCAAAACGATGTGTTATGTTCGTCTGAGTAACAGTCTGTACTTGTTTCTCACTTCCTGTCTCTTTTGTACTTCCTTCTCTCATGCTTACTTCCTTCTCACTCTTTATTTTTATCTTTCTTCTTCCAGCACCTTTTCATTCTCAGCAGTGACTCAGTTGTTTTTATTCAACAATATATATATAACTACATACAGTTGAAGTCAGAATTATTAGCCCACCTTTGATTTTTTTTTTCTTTTTTAAATATTTCCCAAATAAATCAGTTATTAGAGATAAGTTATTAAAACTATTATGATTAGAAATGTGTTTAAAAAGTCTTCTCTCTGTTAAGAAGAAATTGGGGAAAAAAATAAATAGCGACTAATAATTCAGGTGGGCTGATAATTAAGGGGGCTAATAATTCTGACTTCAACTGTATATATATATATATATATATATATATATATATATATATATATATATATATATATATATATATATATATATATATATATATATATAATTTGGCCACTATTTAATTACAATTACGAATATAAATATTAGGTGTTTTGATTTTTTAAAAGCTTAAGTTTAGGTTTCTACATGATTGTTTTACTTTTGTTATTATGTTCATATTTAGTTTAAATTAGTTTTGGTTGTCAAACCAACATTTCTATGCTATAAAATTTTCCCTCCTAATATTTTATTATTTTACTTAAGTTTTTAATTTAATATAACATGATATTTCAGTGAGCATTGTTTAGGTTTCAAGAGTTATTATTATTTTGTTTATTTGATAGTATTTCAGATTCCCTTTTGTATTTTATACCTTTTTCTGTTTTTAATTAATTGTTCTGTTATTTAATGTTTGTCTTGTTATTGAATATTTGTATTGATATTGTTTTCGAAATCAACATTTCTGTTTTATAAATATTTTATTATTATTATTTTATATTTTACTTGTATGTTGTTTATTTAATATTAATATGCTCTTTCAGTTGACAATGTTTACATATTTTTTAAAAAATTCATTTATTAATATTTTACATTAGGTTTTGTTTGTTTTTTAAATACATTTTTAAATGTTTGAGTTTTTAAAAGTTTCTAAATAATTGCAGTGTTTTTGTTTTGTTATTATGTACATTTATTTTGGTTGCCAAAGCAACATTTCTATTTTATTACTCTATATTTCCTCCTATTATTCTATTATTTTACTGGTAAGTATTTCATTTAATGTTAATACATTTATTTTAGGTAACATTCAGATAACATTTTTAGGTCAGAGTTTTCTTTTTATTTAATAATTAAGTGTTAGTAATCAATAACAGCACTACATCTCGTGTCTATGGTTATATCTGTTAAATGCATTAAACATTTATCTGGTAGCTGCTGTGTTTGTTTATCATTAATCCAAGACAGATTTGCTTGTCTCTGTGTGGGCAGATCTGTGAAAATGATCCACAGCGTGATCCCATCTGTGAAAAATCGTGACCGCAAAAAAACAACATAATTTACATTTATTTAATGCCAAGCAAACAGTCTGTTGGCCATTTAATCCAATGTTAATTCAAATATAAACATAAGAGCAGTCGCTTATAAATGTAATGCATCTCCTCATCAAAGCGCACTACTTATGGCATGGTGTTATATTTTAATATCACTGAAACACTATTACTATTATTTTTGCTAAGTTTATAGTAAGATCTGTTTGTTTAATCACATTAATAAATATGAACTAAGAATGAAAATAGGTTTAAAGCATTTAGAAATGTTGATTTATAAAATTTACTAATACAGTATTGAAAATGCAAGTTTAATCAAATCAAATTTATATTATTATTATTATTATTATTTATCGGACATAAGCAAAAATTTGATAATAATATAGACCATTTTATTTTTATTAGACTGTTAAATTGAATCACTCACTATTTTTGTAAAGTGTTACAGTTATTATTTTTGTTTTCCATTGTAATTTGGAGAATATAGTGTGTTTAACAATTCATAAAATAAAATCTTTAAAGTGATTTTTTTTTTATATTTGTGCTCTGGGACTAGAAGAAATGTAAGGCAGGGCTTAGTTTTGTTTATTGGGCATTGATTGGATGGTTAAAAACTTGTGGTTTGCTATTGGTGCATCTCATCATGTGGGTGACAGATTGATTCCGCCCCCTAGGGCCAGTAAACACTAATCAGTGAACAGAGGAGGGAGATTTATTTTGATTACAACAAAGAATTTGAAAAAAATATTAATAATTAGTAATAATGGTGCTTTTTTGTGTCTGAATAATGTGCAGGTTAGTGTATACTCCATCAGGTGTTTTGGTTTCTGTCAGCTTTGTGTTTTTGACTGTTTGGCGCCATCTTGTGTCTAAATAATGCGCAGGTTAGTGTATACTCCATCAGCTGATTTCTTTTCTGTCAGCTTTGCATTTAATTAAGTATTTAAAAAACGTCTTATAACAATGTTTTGTGTCTACTTTTTTATATTTTAAGTAGCTGTGTAATAAGCAGGATAAAGTACATCCAGGCGTTGTTTTCGCAGAATAAAGCCCTTCAATCTTATAGAGTAATGCTTCACTTTATGTCTTGCTGCTGATAAACCTGTCAGGCTTTATTCTGCGATAACAACCTCCTGGATGTACTTTATCCCTATCATAACATACCAAGTTGGAATGTTACAACTGAGCAATCAGAATCAAGTATTCCAGACAGCCTTGTAATAATATCTGCATACAAAAATAAGAAAAATCTGTTATGATTTTGTGTTTCTAGGTGTGATAACCTGCGTGTGTTCAAGCTGGGTCTGCTGTCAGGTCTGTGGTGGACGCTAGCGCTCATGTGCTGGATTAGCGATCGCATTTTCTGCGAGATGTGGTCATCTGTTAACTTCCCGTATTTGCACTGCGCCTGGTGAGTGTTTGAATCAATTCATATACAGTTGAAGTCAGAATTATTCACCACCTTTGAATTTATTTTATTTTTTTAATATTTCCCAAATTATGTTTAACAAGGAAATTTTCAAAGTATGTCTGATAATATTTTTTCTTCTGGAGAAAGTCTCATTTGTTTTATTTCGGCTGGAATAAAAGCAGTTATTAATTTTTTAAACACCATTTTAAGGACACAATTATTAGCCCCTTTAAGCTATATATTTTTTTCGATAATCTACAGAACAAACCATCGTTATACAATAACTTGCCTAATTACCCTAACCTGCCTAGTTACCCTAATTAACCTAGTTAAGCCTTTGAATGTCACTTTAAGCTGTATAGAAGTCTCTTGAATAATGTCTAGTCAAATATTATTTACTGTCATCATGGTAAATCGGAAAATAAATCAGTGATTTAGAAATGAGTTTTTTAAAAACTATTATGATTAGAAATGTTTAAAAAAATCTGCTCTCCGTTAAACAGAAATTGGGGGGGGGGGGTAATCAACAGAGGGGCTAATAATTCAGGGGGGCTAATAATTCTGACTTCAATATAATGTGATATATATATGAATATGAATAAATAATACTGTAATTAATGTATTGTATATTGGTTGTTTACATTAGTAAATACATTAACTAATGAAGCCTTTATTTTAACGACCTATAAAACAATAAAGCCTTTATATTTATATTTACTTTAGTGCAAGGTAAACTTATTTTAGTACAAAGGTAAACATAATAAATTTAAATAATTTCCCTGGCAATTACTGATAATAATTATCATTGCTTTTTTCAGGATAGTTCAGCCCAAAATGTTAATTCTGAAATGTTTTTAAAAAAATCTCAGATTATTTCCACCATATTCACCATATTCAGTTTTTTCAACTAATGTCAACTGTTAAAAAGAATAATAATGATAATAATCATTCATTAAAATAAATAAGATCAATAATAAACACATTCATTCATTTATTTTCTTTTCGGCTTAGTCCCTTTATTAATCAGGGGTCGCCACAGCCGAATGAACCACCAACCTATTCAGCATATGTTTTACGCAGCAGATGCCCTTCCAGCTGCGACCCATCACTGGGAAACAACAATAAATAAAAAAAATGTACAATTATTATTGAATATATTATATATTAATTATTAAATACATTATTATTTATTACTTGCATAAAACACATCTAAAATTTGTCAGTTGGCATTTCTGTGTGGAGTTTGCATGTTCTCCCCGTGTTGGCGTGGATTTCCTTTGGGTGCTCCGGTTTCCCCCACAGTCCAAACACATGTGGTACAGGTGAACTGGGTAAGCTAAATTGTCCGTAGTGTATGTGTGTGAATGAGAGTGTGTGGATGTTTTCCAGTGATGGGTTGCAGCTGGAAGGGCATCCGCTGCGTAAAGCATATGATGGATAAGATTAATAGATCAGATTAGTAAAGGGACTAAGCCAAAAAGAAAATGAATGAATGATTATTTAAAATTTAACTAATAAATAAAATGAAAGATGCAAGCAGCATTAAGGGGCCCAAACCTTTGTGTCCAATAGTTTCAACATCTGTGCAAAGTTTCAAAAGTTTTTGAGCATGGTAATGGCCCCAAAAGCTTAAAACTAATTGTATTTGTAATCCTTACAACAACAATAGGGCCTTTCGTCCATTTGGCGAAATGTAAAAGTATAAATAAATGAATCTATGATAAGATTAATGAATAAAATGATCTGTACCCTCTCTCTCAGGCACATCCTCATCTGTCTGGCCTCATATCTGGGATGTGTGTGTTTCGCTTATTTCGACGCGGCGTCAGAGGCTCCGGAGCAGGGGCCCGTGGTCAAATTCTGGCCCAGTGAGAAGTGGGCTTTCATCGGGGTGCCGTACGTCACGCTGCTCTGCGTACACCGAAAACCCTCCATCAAGGTGACCTGAGCTGCAGTATCTGAACATGCTTTGTTTCACACAGAGGAAAATCCAGATCTCCGTTCACAAGCGTGTGTTTTTGGGGGGACGGTGAGGGTCAATCAGTGTTATTGATGTGAGGATTTAAAAGGACAGTTCACCCAAAAATGAACATTACCTCACACTCAAGTGGTTCAAAGCTTTTATGCTATTTCTTTCAGAAAAGAAGATGATCTGAAGCTTGTTGGGATAAAACAGCCGTTGATTTTCATGGCAGGAACTAAGAATACTTTGTTTTTCCCAGCATTCTTCAGTACAGGCAAGCCTGAAATTATTATAATTAAATTATTATTATTATTCATACCCCAGGCAAATTCTAACTTGAAGTTTTTGCTCAAATGTAAATAAAAGCTGATAAATATATATTTTTTTCCACAATGTTGCCTCTTGTACGTCATCTTATTATCTTTAGGGAGAAGCCTGTGTCATTTATGGACTAAAAACAAACTTTCTGGTTGAATAAAAGTAACTCAGAATTTGCCCGGGGTAAAATAGTTTTAGGCTTGACATGTTTAACAGCAGAAAGACACACAAACAGCTTTGGAACAAGTAGAGGATGAGGAAACGCTGACAGAATTTTCATTTTTGGGTGATCTATCTCTTTAACAGCACAGAATTATCTTTCCATTTGCGTCGGTGTAACACTCTAAAAGGTCTGGAATAATATAGATTTGGTGTTTGTTTTTAAAGAGGCTTCTTACTTTCAGCAAAGCTGCATTTAGTTTGATCAAAAATACAGTAAACAATCGTAATATTGTAAAATACGAGTCACTATGTCAGACATCCCAAGTTGGCAAAAGTAATTTCCGGGGTAGGCAGAGATAATTTGCAGGAGGTTGCGGGATAACGGGTGCCTGGAAAAAAGGGGGGTGGGGGGGGGTTGTTGTGCGCGCGACGTTAAGTATCTGAAGAGCAGTGGGGGTGTTTGCGTGCGACGTATCTGAAGAGCGGTGGGGGCGTATGTGCGCGATGTACCTGAAGAGCTGTGGGGGTGAGTTGCGTGTGATGTACCTGAAGAGCTGGGAGGGATGCGATGGAGAGGCATGTGCGACGTATTTAAGGACCGGGCGGGAGACGCGCGATTTCAGGGAGATTATCATTCGTTTGTGGGCATCCGGGAATTCTCAATGCTTTTGCGGGAGACTCCCGGAACTTCCGAGAGACTTGGGATGTCTGCCATGTAAAAAAAAAATACAGTATCTAAATGTTTGGTGAGGATTAATAGGTGAAACATTAAATGAGAATGAATGCATAAGACTTTTATTTAGCAAGAACAGATTTAATATTACTGGGAAAGTTACCGTAAAGAGATCATGTGTTATACTGAAAAATTAATTCTGGAATGAGAAGTTGTAACATTACCTGTACATTTCCAGAATTCTGATGGTTTATTTTTATTGATTTATTTTTTATTTATTACCAGTGAACTTGTTCTGGTAATATTATGGCTTTTGAAGGTGTTAAAAATAAATACAAAATAATATAAAAATAATAGTTTATAAATATTGTTATTTTGAGCTTTTTTTTATGAGAAAACTTCCGAAAGAATTACTAACAGGAACGCTTATATTTTCTCTATAACTTTATATGAAAACAAATATTTTAAATAGCAGTTATACTTCACAGAATATATTTTACACATATACTTTTTCAGAAAATTTCTGGTAAACTACTGTAAAGAGATCATGTGTAATAGTGGAGGCCGTTTTCCTGCAATCAGACAGAATTGCATAATTAAGGGATTTAGTTTTTTTTATTATTATTATTTTTCATTTTGTATTATTACCAGTGACATTTTTCTGGTAATTTTATGGCTATTAAAGACATTTATAGTATTAAAAAATAGAAATTGTTATTTTGAGATTTCTTTTTATGAGGTAACTTCCCGAGAGAAATAAAATTTCAGAGGAACGGCAATAACTTTCTTTATAACTTTATATAAAAACAGATATTTTAAATAGCAATTATACTTCACAGAATATTATTTGCAGTAATTTTCATCAAACAATTTGCAGTTTTGCTAAACAAAAGAAACATCTTTTAAAAACCTGAATAAATCTTTCGACAGGTGGTGTATTTTAAAACATAGTCAAAATGAGAAGGAGACTTGTACAACACACCAGCAGTTGAATAAATGAGGATAATAATGTTTATTCATACAATAACATTGTGAAAATCCCATTTCAACTTAAGATATAAAAAGGCAGCACGGCTGTCGGAGAGTGTTATATTATCAGTTCAGCACAAAGCATGTTTTTTCAATGTTGATGCAACGTTTTTATAACGTAACAGTATATAGAATTAAAATGAATTGGTGCACTAAGTGATTTTTCTTTGGGTTTGGACTTTATACTCACAAATATGCAAGAATAAGGATTTTTCCATTACTAATAATATTGAAGAAATTGTCTATTGGGAAAAATGTATTCCTAAACATTAAGAAAGAATATAAAGAGAGAGATAAATAATATATGTGTTATTTAAGTTATATATCTTCTATATAATTTAGGTTATATATAGTTATTATAACAGCAATTATTACATCGTATACACTACCTGACAAAAGTCATGTCATCGATCCCAGAGCAACAAATAATATCTTGACTTTTAGTTGATCATTTGGAAAAGTGGCAGAAGGTGGATTTTTCTGATAAATCATCTGCAGAAGACCTGCTGGAACCAGCATGAACCAAGATTCTCACAGATATCAGTCAAGTTTGGTGAAGGGAAAATCATGGTTTGGGGTTACATTCGGTATGGGGGGTTATATTCTATACTGGACATTATTTCTGTTCAGTGACGAGACTTTAGTCTAAGCAGAGTCAGACCTTACTGTCCTAATGACATCAGTCAACATCAAGACATGATCATATTTTATTTAGGTAAAAAAAAAAAAAATCTAAATGCCTTTGCCTTTCATATAAGCCACTTTCTATACCAAATGATCAACTCGAAGTCAACTTATTATTTGTTGTTCCTAAAACTTGGTCAAGCGACAAGACTTTTGTCAGGTAGTGTATATAATATGTTATATTGTATTATATATGTTATAGTGCATTATATATTTGTGTTTATGTGTAATAATTTATTTAAGTATATTTTAAATAATTTATTATATAATAAGAGTTTTTAAAAATTTTTATGAAATAATAAAACTTATTATATTATATATTATTTAAAATATACTTATATAATATATTTTATAGAATATATATATCTCTAAATATAATAACAAAAACTAGTGCAGATTAAAATAGCTTTTCTCCTGTGAAAGCACATATTGCCAAAAGACCAAGTTTATTTTCAGTGAAAAACGTTGGAAAAATGACTCTGTGCACCTTTAAAACACGTTTCAGCACACAAAATCATCTCTAGCAGAATTACTACAGGGAAGAAGAGCAATATTACTCTTTTTATTACAGTGTTTCATTCATGTCAGCGTGTTTTTCTTTAATATTAAGGTTGTTTATCAGTGGCAGGTCTGATATTTCTGAGTTTATGATATGAATGCAGCTCGGACTGATGTTTGAAAGCTGTGTTGCTCTACTGTGAAATGAATTCAGTGTAATTGAATGAAGATTTCGAGACGCTGCATGGAAATAATCAGCAGAACTGAATGTAAAGGAATGCTCTGTGCGTCTTTTTTCCTGCTAGAAGTGTATATTATCTATATAACCTGATGAACTCTTAGTATTATTTCATCTTTATTTCTTTCACTAGTAACTTTTCAGCAAAGGCCTTTTGCAGTTTGTGTCTTCATTTGTCAAAGAACAAAATGATTTAGTACTGCAAAATGAGTAATATACCATTTAATTTCAGAAAAACTAAATGCCAAAAACTTTACATTATGCAATAGAAACACGAGTTTAGTTGTGATTTATAGATGAATTGATACACGTTCTGTGACTTCCTGCTGCTTCATTCTAATGCCACAAACTTGCATCAGTATTTCTAGGAGGAATCTAGTTTTATCTGTTTCTTAAAGTGTTTGCTATGGAAGCTTGTTTCCTCTAAGGGTTAAAAACAATGAAAAAGCTATTTTTGATCTCAAAATGTTTATTTTTTTATTTATTTTATGTTATTTTGTGTAGAATTCTGAATTAAAAAGGAAAATTTCTGAGATGTAAACTCAGAATTCCAATAAAAAAAGTCAAAATTCCAGGACTTTTCTGAGAAAAGTCAAAAATTCTCTAAAACAAAAAAAATTTAAATTCTAAGTAATGTCAGAATTATGAGAAAAAAAGAGTCCCATTTACAAGATGTAAACTCAAAATTTTAAGAATAAAAGTCAAAATTTCAAGAAGTGATCTCAGTATTATGAGAAAATAAAGGTCAAATTTCCAAGATGGAAACTGAGAACTCCAAGAAAAGTTACAATTTCCAGAATTCTGAGTACAAAGTCAAATATTTGAGGAAAAAGGACAAATTCCAAGATTTAAATTAATTCTGTGAAAAAAACAAAAAACAGAAGTTTAAGTTTTTCCTTATACTTCCCGGGAATAAGTACAAATTCTATGTTATCTCAGAATTCTGAGTGAAAAGTTCAAAATTCTAAGAAAAAAATCTCAGAATTCTGAGTAAAAAGTCACATTACTGAGTACAAGTAAAAATTCTGAGATGTAAATTTTACAGTTACAGTTCCAAGAAGTGATTCAGATTTCTGAGAAAAAAGAAATGTTTCTGAGATGTGAACTCAAAATTCCGAGAAAAAGGTTCAAAAAGAAATCTCTGTATTATGAAAAACATATAAACTAAGAATTCCAAAAAAAATCTAATTTCAAGAAATAATCTCAGAGTTATGAGACAAAAAGTCAAACTTAGAAAAACAAGAGAAATATAGAGATATGAACTCAGAATTCCAAGAAAAAGTTACATTTCAAGAAGTAATTCAGAATTCTGAAAAGTCACATTTTCCAAATCTCCAAGAGAAAGCTAAATGTTGAATTCTGAGAAAAAATATATACATTCCTGAGATGTAAACTCAAAGTTTCAAGAAAAAAAAAATACAATTTCAAGAAGAAATCTCAGTAATATGAGAAAAAAGTCAAATTTCCAAGATGTAAACTCAGAATTCCAAAAAATAAAAGTCAAAACTCCAAGAAATAATCTCAGATTTCTGAGTAAAATTAAAAACTCTGAGATGTAAATTCAGAATTCTGTGTGAAAAGCAGAAAAAAACGAGTTAAACTCAGAATTCCAAGAAAAACGTTTAACAAGTAATCTCAGTATTATGAAACAATAAATCTTCTGAATTCCAAGAAAAAAAAAGAATTCCAAGAAATTGGAAATTTTCTCAGAAATTCTGAGACAAAAATTCAAATGTCCAATATGTAAACTCAGAATTCCAAGAAAAAAAATATTCCAAGAAGCAAACTCAGAATTCTGAAAAAAAAAAAGTCAGATTTCTATTAAAAAAAACTCGGAAGTTAAGTTAAACTCGGAATTCCAAGAAGTTATCTCAAAGTAATCTCAAATTTCCGAGATTTAAATTTTGAATTCCGGAAAATAAAGTCGAATTTCAGAGAATTCAGAGGGAAAATATCAGAAATATGGGAGCATTTAAATTCTCCGATGTCAAAATTCTGATACGTGAAAAAAGGTCCAAGTTCTGAAAACAATTTTAATTCCTAAATGTAAAAAAGGAATTCAGAGAAAAACATTCAGAATTGAAATATATAAATGCAGAATTCATCCTCATTCGTCTCTATTCCATTGGAGGAAACAGGCTTGCATCTTCTGCCACTCGTCCAGATCAGTATTTCTTTAAAAGCAGCAGCAAAATCACTTTGAGTTATTTGTGTTTTTTTCTGCTCAACCAATGCAAAATACAGTATGTACTGTAAGCCAACGCAATGGCTGTGAGAGTGTGTGTGCATGTGTGTGCGTGTGTCACGGACCCCGATGCAACCCAGGGACCAAGTATACAAAGACTATTTATTTTTGTGACTCGTAGCCGCTCAATAATTTTGTAACTACCACAGAGTAATGACTTTTGTATCCAAATGAGTTTGATTGTATTTTTACATCCTATTTAATAAAAACATGCTGGAAATGAACCCGTTTACATCAAGTGTTCTTAATACTGTTAAACAAACTGTGTGTGTACATTCTCTAGCACCAGTTTTTATTTAATAATGTATGAAACTGCACTCTTATTCTGAATGAACGTGATCGGATCTTTATAGCTTTTCAGATTTCTTTATATGTTATGTTAAATAATCTGACAAAATGGGTTAATGGTTTAAAGGAGAGTGGCAATGACAATTATTGAATTATTCTGGAGTTTTTCTATGTTTTGTAACGTGTTATATTAAATGATATAATAAATTAAACATGCCAAAAAAACACAAAAAATGTAAAGGATTTGTGCTTGAAAATGCGTTTGTTTTTGATCTTTAAATAAATATATGAGCAGTATTTACACATGGAAAGGAGATATGTCAGTATTATTTTAAAAGCTGGCTTGTGTTTCTTTTAAATTATATATTTAAAAGCATATAGTTTTGTTTTATTTTACTATAAAATCTCTGCTATATACTCCTGCTTTTTCGATATTTACATCACACTGACATCTAGTGTCCTTTTAGTATATTAATTTTGGTGGCCATTTTGTCACCAAAACATTATTGTTTATTAGTTAATATGAATTTTACACTTTTAAAATAAAGTAAAAATATTCACTAGTCGCAGACAAAATTATGTTCTCCTGTGCTGAAATTAAAATATATATAAATGTATATGTGAGTGTATGTATACAGTTGAAGTCAGAATTATTCACCACCTTAGATTTTTTTTTTCTTTTTTAAATATTTCCCAAATGATGTTTAACAGAGCAAGGAAATGTTCACAGTATGTCTGATAATATTTTTCTTCTGGAGAAAGTCTTATTTGTTTTATTTCAGCTAGAATAAAAGCAGTTTTTAATTTTTAAACACCATTTTAAGGTCAAAATTATAAGCCCCTTTAGGCTGTTTTTTTTCAGTAGTCGTTATACAATAACTTGCCTAATTACCCTAACCTGCCTGGTTACCCTAATTAACCTAGTTAAGCCTTTAAATGTCACTTTAAGCTGTATAGATGTATTTTGAAGAATATCTAGTCAAATATTATTTACTGTCATCATGGCAAAGATAAAATAAATCAGTTATTAGTAATGAGTTATTAAAACTATTATTAGAAATGTGTTGAAAAAAATCTGCGCTTCATTAAACAGCAATTGGGAAAAAAAATAAAACAGAGGGGCGAATAATTCTGACGAACTGTATATTTATATATACACACACACACAGTTGTAGTCAGAATTATTAAACACTCTGAATTATTAACCCCTGTTTATTTTTTTTGTCCCCGATTTTATTTTTTTTAAAATGCAGTAAAATATCATGGACAGTCATCTGGTCAAAGACTAAAGAAATGAGTTATTAAAAACTATAGTTAAAGTGTTGGGGAAAAAACTCTTTGTTTGAAAAATAATTTTAAAAAAGTCAAACTGTCTCTCAACAAAAGTAAAAATATGTTTATTAGAAAATATTTATAATACTTAAATGTATGCATATCTCATTTTCTGAAGTGTGTGTGCAATTAAAAAGAAATATATACATATATATTGAAAATAACTTGCAAAATAAAGGATGCATATTGAAAACATTTAATATTTCAGCTGCTACATGAAACGCATAAGAAATACAGAGTTTTCTACAACTTTAAATGTGCAAAATAACCACAAATGCATTTATAGAATAAAACACGACACAATGCATGAAAAATAGAAATATAACAAAAACATTCAGTGTTCAAAAGTACCAAGAACGATGAGCTTCTCCAAAAATGCATTTATAAAATCAAACACAACACAATGCGTTAACAATATATACACGTATTTAAATAAAAACATTCAGTGTTCAAAAGCATCAAAAATGATGCACTCATCCATAAATGCATTTATAAAATCAAACAGAACACAATGCGTTAACAATATAAAAAAAAAATCTGTGTAAAAAGCACCAAAAACGATGCGCTCCTCCATAAACATGAGGCGCGAGCTGCTGCTGCTGCATTAAAGAGTGTGTATTCATCATGATGCTGTGTTGATGTGTAGCCTCTCCCAGACTCGTGCTCTGTGTTCAGGCATCAGGCAGGGTTTGAGGACGGGCTCCAGTGTCTGAACTCTCCTCCTGAAACGCTCGCGGTCTCTGGCCATCTGCAGCCAGCAGGAACCGTCCCGCGCGGATCTGCTCGCATAACTCCAGACCAGCAGAGGGCGCACACACACGCGCTCGCTGAAACACACCTGCAAGACAAGAAACAGAAGAGCGCTGTCAGACCTTATGTTTTTATGTGGTGTATTTGGTGTTGCTGCATGCGAAACTTCACATTTATAATATTATTATTCAAACTTTTAAACTCATAAAACGTTTAAAGTTGAGGCACTAAAATAAAATGAGTAAATCCGGAAAAAATAATAGAAGTTCAACTAAATCAAACATCTAATAAAAACTCTACATTAAATACAAAAGAAAACCATTCGAAGTAATTCCTGTGATGTTTACCTTTTTCATAGAGCGTGTTTTCGCTTCTCTTCTAGTCTTAAGGCTGATTTAAACTTCTGCGTTAAACGCACGCGTATGCTACGGCGCTGATGCATAGCCCTACGCCATGGCCGTCGCTGACGTGCACCTCTCAAAAAATGTAACTACACGTCGCAACGACTCGTAGCGCAAGCTCTGTGATTGGTCGGCTTGGTAGCGCTGACAAGTCTGGGCGGGACCGAGAGCCGCGCGAATAGCGCGAACCCAATAGAGCGATTGTTTACAAGTGTGGAGTCCCGTGAAGGAGCTCCGGATGGTAAGTTTTGTTTTGTGTTTACCTCATAGTTAAAGTTGTTGCACGTCCGCCGGTTCCTGCCTAAAAATTAGCGAGTTTGAGCCACTTGTACATCCAGCAAGTGTTCAGGAAAAGCAAAACAGCAGCGAAGAAACTCAACGCAGAGACACATTAACACTTCGATGCCAACTAGGGTTTCGGAAGTGTTAATGCAGACCGACAGAGACAGCGCGCTGAAGTATAAATGCACAGCTACGCGTGTTGCATGTGCCGTGGGTTACGCCGGTCACCTGACGCAGAAGTATAAACCAGGCTTTAATATTATTAGTTCAACTAAATAAATACACTAAATTAAACAACAATATATAAAGTAATTTCCATGATGTTTACCTTCTTCCCTCCATTCTTTGAGTGCGTTTTCGCTTGACTTGCTTCGTCTCAATAGTATTAATTTCCGTCACATTTCCGTTCTTCTCGCCGTTCTTAAGAGTATTTTTGCTCGACTCTTCTAGTCTTACTGTCATTATTAGCTAAACTAAATCAAATACCTAACAAAACAAAAAAATGTAATAAATTTCCGTGACAGCTACCTTCTTCTCGCCATTTTTAGAGTGCGTTTTCTCCTGACTCTCTTCTAGTCTTAATATTATAGGTTATTTTTAATCGAATTACCTGATAACAACACCCATTTATAAAAAATTAAATAAATAGAAAGCCTCAAATATTCAGAAGTAATTTCAATGACGTTTACCTTCTTCCCACTGCTCTTCGACTGGGTTTTCTCTGGACTCTCTTCTCGTCTTGTATCTGCAGAAGGTTGTGTTTTGATCGGCTGTGTGTTCGTTCTGGAGCTGACAGACGAGGAGAAGCTCAGAGGATTATACGGGTCGCCATTATTGAGGAACGATTCCCAAATCTCAAGACTCTCAGCCGAAGCTTCGGAATCATCATCATCATCATCATCTGACCAATCAGAATCATCATCATCATCCTCAGTTTCTTCATCTTCCTCTTTATCCTCAGCTTCTTCATCTGACTCCCATTCTCCATCATCTTCATCATCATTCTGTGAAGATTCCCGCTCTTTTTCCTCCAAATCATCATCATTCTGTGAAGATTCCCGCTCTTTTTCCGCCAAATCCATATCCATATCCTTCATTTCCCGCTCTTCATCCCTGGCTTCAGGCCTCTCCAGGGCCTCCGCACCACTTTTCCTCAAGATGCCCATCATGGCTACTATTTTCCTCCCAACACAAATGAAGAAAATCATCTTGGATTTGAGCAGTTGAGTAAGACTCATGCAGTAGTTCTGGACTGCGTTTACAGCCTGCCACAGCTTCATTTTGATGATGGATGCTTTTAAATGATCGAACACACACAGATCTTGACGTTTACTGGACGAAAGACTCATCTCGGACTGGACGAATAAAGGTTTCTGAGGTAAACAGCCTTGATGTGGCGACGGATGAGGTGTGGAGATGGTGAATGGTGCCATAGTCACACTCAATCTGTACGGATACAAATATAGATGCTTTAATTTTCACATTTAGAGCAATGTTAAAGGGATAGTTCACACTAAAATGTAATGGAGTTTCTTCTGTTGAACAGTCATATAGACGTCCATTAATAGTATTGGTTTTGTTTGTACTATGGACGTCTGTAGCTATGTTTACATCCACCTTTTTTTAATGCACATTTTGGGTTATCGCATTGAAAAATGCGTGATGTAAATGCCAAGATGCGCATAAATAAATAAAAAATGCACATTAAAAAAACATGCGCACAATTGAGTAGGATAAACTTTTTATTTGAGAAGAAATGTGCATGAACTACATTGAAACCACTATTACCGAAATAAATTCCAGCATGCACAAAGCCATGCGTTTTCGTTATAAGAGATTGTGTCGATAAAACTGTGTGATGGGGCACATTAATGGACAAATCAGCAGAGCGAGCACATTGTAAAACATCGTACGTGTTGTTTTAGTCATTTTAAAATGCCTTAATTTCAGTACATTATTATTAATATATTATTAAACACCTCCAGCATCTGCGCTGCACGTCTCGCGCCTCCAAATGCCACTACACGCTCATTGCATTTCGTCTTCAGAGGCAAGTAATTTATTAAACAAGGAAAACACTCGCACAGCTTCTTCCATCACAGCAAATTGCATTTCTTTTTGATATTTGTTTATCAGGAAGTGACAATTTCGTTCTCTTTGACTCCATGACGGCGCAATCCTTTACACAATATTCCAGTTTGGCTGCTTTTTCCACCAACATTCTTCAAAATATCTTCTTTTGTGTTCAACATATAGATATTGGTAAAAGTTGACTGTGAGTAAATCAGCCATTTCATTACTTTTGGGGGCGAACTGTGCCTTTAAAACCTTTGTGGTCAATAAAATGAGTGTTGTTGCTGCAAAATAGTGTGACGCATCATAATGTGACCAGCCCTGCCTGTGAGCCGTCTACCACACAATAGCAACAAACAACAGTTACCATGTAATACTAGGTTCCTGTAATAAAAGACCATGGCAGTACCATGACTTTCTCTTTTACATAATTAGGTTTTAACCCACTTAATCCCAAATATTCACTCCTTAGACGGCACACAAACTTCACACCTCCTGTAATATTATATTGGTTAAAGCAGGGTTTAAATGGTCAAGACTACATCACAATTCTGTTGATTTGAAAGTGTTAACAAGATTAAAACTACATATAATAGCTACTATGAATACCAATCTCTGAATTTTTTTTTATTTCTCCTGTTTAGACACAAAAGATATAGTCAAGTAGACTTCCATTAATAGTGTTTGTTTTGTTTGTACTATGGATGTCTGTAGCCATGTTTACATCCACCTAATTAGATGCGCATTTTAAAATAATCGCATAAAAAAGCTTGAAGGAAATCACAAATTTTTAAAAAATGCACATATTAAAAATTATGTGGTAGGATAAAATTAAAAAAAAACTACAAAACATTTACAGAGTCATGTGATTTTGTTTTATTATTGTTTTATTAGATCATGTGAGAAACCAGCCGAGTGAGCACATTGCAAAACATCTGAAATGTTGTTTTGGTCATACTAACATCGTTCAGGACAACTTGTTTTGTCTTTAACAAAATAAATAATTCGTGAACTGTCCCTTTAAAACCAGTAATGGAGTTCTCCATCAATAAAATGGGTGTTGTTTCTTTTGTTGCTACAACATAGTGTGACACATGATCATGTAATAAGCCCTGCCCGTCATTGTTTGTACATATATACATAAATAAATAGCTACCATGGAGAAACTTTGTGCATGATACATTATTTTTTTGGTAAACAAGTGGCATTTAAAGAAATGATTCACCAAAAAAAATGTGTTTATTTACCAATAATTGTGTTTGAGATGGTTTTTTGCCCAAATGTAGCTACTGAAAGTCATTTTGGGTGTTAGCATTGCACATTTTATAGAAATGCTGATTGTTGTCAACGTGCTGGTGTTTTTGTTATTATTATTGTTATGGATATTTCAAAAGGTTTTATTTCTGAAACGTAATGCCAATAGTCCATAATTGAATACACACAAATGTTGACTAATGTGTGTTATAAATGAAGTATAAAGTAAACAACATACAATTCTGTCATTATTTACACACTAACAGTGTCTTAAATCCAAACCTGTTCGAGTTTCTTTCTTCTGTTGGACACAAAACAACATATTTTAAAAATATAGTTGACTTCCATAGTATTTTTGAATGCTAATGGCGGCTAGTTTTCAACATTCTTCTAACTACCTTCTTTTGTGCTCACCACAAGAAAGAAACTCCTAAATGGTTTGGAATCACTCGATAGAGAGTAAATGCTGATTAAATTTGCCTTTTGAGTGAACTATTCCTCCATACAATCAACAGTACTCGATTAAATATCGAATATTCCGTGTATCGTTAACGTTGTCTCTTACCTTTGTGTTGTCGGTCAGCCCGTCGCTTGGCAGTCGCTCCAATGCAGATTTAGCTTTCCGATACTGAACTTACTAACGTACTCAAAAACGATCTTTGAGCAATTAGTCGACTTCACTTCAGACATAAACTCCATGTTCGCTTTGTTTAGAAACATCTCGCGCTCGGTTTGGGTTTCACGTATTGCATTCTTCTGTGCCGTAAATAGAATTGTTTTTCTGAGTGACGGCTGTTGTTTATATATGCAACCATTACGTCAGAAGACGGAGGCGGGACTTACGTGACTTACGTGACTCATTGGGAAATCACGTAGCCGCCGTCTGGTGATGTTTCGAGAAAATAATGGGGCGGGGCTTGTGCGGAACAGTCTGGTTGAGACGGGATTGCATCATAAACAAATAAGGAAAGCGAAGTCGAGAACAAAACAAAAACACCCCAAACCAGGGGATTTACTTGCTAACTGTGATTATTAGGGAAAATCCTATCACACAAACGGAAAATACTGTAGACTATAGGACACACGGGTTCATATCCAGCCTTTAATACACTATATATTATAAAAATGTCGATAAGCAACATACATTTGTCACATGATGGGTCAAAGTGTCTCAGAAATGAACTGTGAGTAATAAACAACTCCTATATTGACACACACAACATTATCAGTGTGATTCAAGACACTATAAATAAGATTACAATAAAGATGAGCTCATAACAACCCAAAAATTCCCAAATGTAGGATAAAAACATTGGATGAAGGACATCTGAGCAGGCAGTAATCTAATAAACAATGTAAAACATGTTGCATAAAGGTTTAAGTTATAGATATTTTCATATTTTAGATTTTTTTTGTATATAATTAGATCATACTTACCAATTAGAAAGTATGAATGAATGTTAATTCATTTACCTAAATGAACAAACTATGAGCAATCCATGGAAATAAAGTCTATTAGATAAAGTCCATTAATGTTTAACAATGCCTTAGTAAATGTTGATTACCGTTTTTTACAATGGCTATGGCAGTTTTTTTCCAATACATTTAACAAGTTTGCTAAACTCTTAACACACCTAAAACACACAATTGGCAATACAGTTAATTTAATGCTCAAAATCACATACTGTAAACTAAACCCCAAAACTAATGTTCAAAGTACAGTAATAAACACTGTAAACATGTTTCAAAATCAAATCATTATTCAAAACACTAACACATGTTCACTTCCAACAGAAACATTCAGTCAATCGGAACACACTGACAATAAAAACACTATCATCTGCTGACATTACTGAAACTGCAGTATTTTCTGTATGTGTCAGCTCTGCCCTTATATCTGAAGCCTCTCTACATTTTAGTTTCGTTGGGTTTAGTAAATGCAGGCATTCTGTTTCTTATGCTGCAGAAATTCAATACAAATAATGAACAACCATCTCAGAGGAGCCTTATAAAATGGAGCTTATGTAAAAAAATATATAAAAATGCATTTAGGCATGTAGACATGCTCAAGACGATCTGCTGCAGTTTAAAGCGAGCATCAGAATGGGGAAGAAAGGGGATTCAAGTCACTTTGAATGTGGCATGGTTGTTGCTGCCAGATGGGCTGCTCTGAGTATTCCAGAAACTGTTGATCTACTGGGATCTTCATGCACAACCATTTCTAGGGTTTACAGAGAATGGTCTAAAAAAGAGAAAATATCCAGTGATATTCATAAATCCAGTTCAATTAATATATCCAGTTCTGCGGGCGCAAATGCCTTGTTGATGCCAGATTCAGAGGAGAATGGCCAGACTGGTTCCAGGTGATGGAAAGGCAACATTAACTCAAATAAGCACTCGTTACAACCGAGGTCTGCAGAAGAACCTTGAGGCGGATGGGCTACAGCAGCAGAAGACCACACCGGGTGCCGCTCCTGTCAGCTAAGAACAGGAAACTGAGGCTACAATTCACACAGGCTCACCAAAACTGGACAATAGAAGATTGGAGAAACGTTGCCTGCTCTGATGAGTCTCCATTTCTGCTGCCACATTCAGATGGTCGGGTCAGAATTTGGCATCAACAACATGAAAGCATGGATCAATCCTGCCTTGTATCACCGGTTCAGGCTGCTGGTGGTGGTGTAATGGTGTGGGGGAGATTTTCTTGGCACACTTTAGGCTCATTAGTACCAATGAGCATTGTGTCAACACCACAGCCTACCTGAGTATTGTTGCTGACCATGTCCATCCCTTTATGACAACAGTGTACTCATCTTCCTCATCTTACTCATCAACAGTGTGAATCATCTTAGACTGGTTTCTTGAAAGTGACAATGAGTTCACTGTACTCAAATGGCCTCCACAGTCACCAGAGCTCAATCCAATAGAGCACCTTTGGGATGTGGTGGAACGGGAGATTGGCATCATGGATATACAGCCAACAAATCATGTCAATATAGAGCAAAATCTTTGAGGAATATTTCCAGTACCTTGTTGAATCCATGCCACGAAGGATTAAGGCAGTTCTGAAGGCAAAAGCAGATCCAACCCTGTACTAGTAAGGTGTACCTAATAAAGTGGCCAGAGTTATGTATATAATACAAATATTTAAATGTTAATATCTATGCAACAAAAAAAATGAATAGTTTTGTTTTTATGTATGAAAATATTCATATAACACAAATATTCATTCATTCATTTTCTTTTTGGCTTAGTCCCTTTATTAATCAGGGGTCGCCACAGCGGAGTGAACCGACAACTTATCCAGCATGTGTTTTACGCAGCGGATGCCCTTCCAGCTGCAACCCATCACCAGGAAACACACAAATATATTATGTCAAAACAAACTTTGGATGTGATCGTGTTTATGCCTAGCAGCACTACAAAAAAAAATCAAAAATTTCATTACAAAATTTGACAAAATGTTAATCGACCTTTACAGAATGAAACCAATATTAATATTTTACTCAAACACACACCTGATAAATACAGTCAATACACGGAAATTGATCCTTTTGAATCTTGATTTTCCCCCCTGCATATAAAGACTATAAATTGAACTTAATATAGTCCAAAATAATTAAAAACTCCTTTACTTGTAGCCGAAATAAAGCAAATAAGAGTTTCTCCGGAAGAAAAAATATTATAGGAAATACTGTGAAATGTTCCTTGCTCTGTTACAGATCATTTGGGAAATATCTAAAAAAAATCCACGTGAGCCTAATAATTTTGTTCATTTTCCTCCAATGTTTTACCTAGCCTGCACTAAAAATCTCACAAACCAACACACAACACATTATTCACGATTGCTTTCAGATTTCCACAACGATCTGTTTTGTTTCATTGTTTGTGAAGTCAATTATACCGAGCTGATCCGCAAGTCTAATGTCATAAACTCTTCAAGGCAACACACAAATCATGCATCATAAAAAGGGTCAGCTGTGAGGTAAAAAGTGGCTCGATTTCTAGAATCAGCTGATTAATAGAGTCTGTTGACCTAATTCAGACACTTTTATGACGTCTGTGTAAGCCTCCGGGGAAAGGGTTAACAGGCAATGTGATTATCCCATCTTGTGATCCAATTTCCAGCCATGAAAGAAGGTATTTTATTTGTGCAGAAAGAGCTGATGTGCGCACACACACACACTCATTCACCATATCAGAGAGCTGCTGACGCTGGTAAGTGTTATGATTCCTTTTGGAATACTTATTGTTATACAATGATATCTTTTTATTATTATTATTATTATTGTTGTTGGCATCTGTGGTTCCGCTATATCCATGGAAACTTGGAATTCCAAAAACAGTCTTGGAATAGTGACTTCAGTAGTATCCATGGAAACTTGGAATTCCAAAAAACATTCTGGGAATAAGAGTTCCGTATAGTATCCATGAAAACTTGGAATTCCTATAAGTGCTCTGTATACTGTGAAAAGATATTGGTTAACCAGGAGTGTAAAGTTCGTAGACAAACTTTATGAAGTCTTGAGAAAGCAGAGTCTGAAAGTTTGAAGTAGTTTTAAAGTTTAAATAACTGAAGTAGTTTTTAAGACGTTTGAAACTGCTGCCATAGAGAGAGAACTACATTTATGCTAGCATGTTTATTAGTATGGATTGGCATGTTTCTTGCAAAGCCGTTGCTAGGGTGTTCTAAGTTGTTACTAAGGTGTTGCTAGGTGGTTACTAAGGAGTTGTTAGGCGGTTGCTAAGGTGTTTTGATTGGTTGCTAGGGTGTTCTAGGTGGTTGCTAAGGCGTTGCTAGGTTGTAGTTAATGTGTTCTAAATTGTTGCTAGGTGGTTGCTAAGGTGTTTAAGGTGGTTGCTAAGTTATTGCTAGGCTGTTGCTAAGGCGTTGCTAGGTTTTTGCTAAGGTGTTGCTAGGCTCTTGCTAAGGTGTTCTGACTGGTTGCTAAGGCATTTCTATGCAGTTGCTTAGGTGTTAGGTGGTTGCTAGGGTGTTCTGAGTGGTTGCTAGGTGGTTGTTAAAGTGTTACATATGGTTGCTAAGGTGTTGCCAGGCGGTTGCTAAGGGGTTTCTTGGTGGTAGCTAAGGGGTTGCTAGGCGGCTGCTTGGTGGTAGCTAAGGCATTGCTAGGGTGTTCTGAGTAGTTGCTAAGCTGTGCTAGGCGGCTGCTAAGGCATTGCTAGGCGGTTGCTAAGGTGTTGCTAGGCAGTTGCTGGGGAGTTCTGAGTGGTTGCTAAGGTGTTGCTAGGGTTGCTAAGGTGTTGCTAGGCAGTTACTAGGTGGTTGCTAAGGCGTTGCTTTGCAGTTGCTAAGGTGTTGCTAGGTGCTTGCTTAGATGTTGCTAGGCGGTTACTAAGGTGTTGCCAAACAGTTGCTTGGGTGTTCTGAGTCGTTGCTAAGGTGTTGCTAGGCGGTTCCTAAGGTGTTGCTAGGGCTGCTAAGGTGTTGCTTGCCAGTTGATAAGGTGTTGTTAGGCAGTTGCTAGGGTGTTGCTAGGTGGTTGCTAAGGTGTTTCTAGGCAGTTGCTAAGGTGTTCTGAGTGGTTGCTAGGCAGTTGCTAACATAAATTAGCATGTTTCTAGTATTAATTAGCATTATGCTAGCATTTTTCTAGCATAAATTAGCATGTTGTTACCATGATTGTATTATGAATTAGCATGTTGCTAGTATGGATTGGAATGTTGTTAGTATGTCCAATGTAAAGTCAATGGCAGTTTTTTATAATGAAAGTCTATCAAATAGTTGCTAGGGCGTGACGAGATCATAATTCTTCTTCTTCGTCAGTGTGTATGGCTGTATGAGCTCAGTATGAGTGCTGATGCCGTGGTCGTGGGCTGCTGCTGCTGCTGAAGACATTGATATGGAGTCGGGCCCCTCAACCCCTGCTGGCCCCGCAGTGGAGTTAGGTCTCCGGAGACTCTCTTTTGCCTACCAGGACCTGCTGGAGATTCCTTACGACACAATCCTGAAACAGCAGGACAGTCTGGAGGTTCTGGATCTCAGTTACAACCTGCTGGAAGAGTATCCTTTTCATTTACCTCACAATTCAGCATTTATTTTATCTTAGAATTAGGACTTTATTTTAAAGGGAACCTATTATGTGCCTTTAAACAAGATGTAAAATAAATCTCTGATGTCCATAGTGTTTGTGTGTGTGTGTATGTGAAGTTTTTTTGCTCTCACAGATAATGTTTATAACTCTTTTAAGCTGCCCCTTTAGGCTTTAGTCCTAATTGTGCCTTTTTGGAGCCTGTCGCTTTAAATGCAACTGAGATTGTGCTCTTTTCAAAAGAGGGCGGAGCTACAAATGCATGTGTGTCAGCATAGTGGCAGATTCAAAAACAAGACAGACGTCTATGCTAATGAGGGAAACATGGTCACTAGTGGGTGTGGCTTTCCTCTGATGACACGCACAAAGGGAGAATGTACACTCACTGGCCACTTTATTAGGTACACCTGTCCTCGTTAACACAAAGTTCTAATCAGCCAATCACATGGCAGCAACTCAATGCATTTAGGCATGTAGACATGGTCAAGACGATCTGCTCCAGTTCAAACTAAGCATCAGAATGGGAAAGAAAAAGGATTTAAGTGACTTTGAACATGGCATGGTTGTTGGTGCCAGATGGGCTGTTCTGAGTATAGTGGGAGGTGGAGGCCACAATTCACACAGGCTCACCAAAACTGGACAATAGAAGATTAGAGAAACGTTGCCTGCTCTGATGAGTCTCCATTTCTGCTGCCACATTCAGATGCTCGGGTCAGAATTTGGCATCAGCAGCATGAAAGCATGGATCCATCCTGCCTTGTATCAGTGGGGGAGATCTTTTTGGCGCACTTTGTGCTCATTAGTACTAATTGAACATCGTGTCAGCGCCACAGCCTACCTGAGTATTGTTGCTGACCATGTCCATCCCTTTATGAGCACAGTGTCTCCATCTACTGATGGCTACTTCCAGCAGGATAACACACCATGTCATAAAGCATGAATCATCTCAGACTGGTTTCTTGAACATGACAATGAGTTCACTGTACGCAAATGGCCTCCACAGTCACCAGATCTCAATCCAATAGAGCACCTTGGAACGGGAGATTCACATCATGGATGTGCAGCCGACAAACCTGCAGCAACTGCGTGATGCTATCATGTCAACATGGAGCAAAATCTCCATGAATATTTCCACCTTGTTGAATCCATGCCACGAAGGATTGAGGCAGTTCTGAGGGCAAAAGGGGGTCCAATACAGTACTAGTAGGGTGTACCCAATAAAGTGGCCGGTGAGTGTGACTTCAGCCGTTGATAAATGGCAAATCTTTGCTGTTTGATGTCTGATCTTTTAAAGAGTTTCTCCTTGACCGCGCTGCTATCGGAACCCGGCTCTTTTAGGAGGTTTGGAGAAGCTCAGTACTCTCATCCTGGACTGCAACAACTACAGCGCTCATGTCAAATTCCCCTTCATGCCCAGCCTCACCACCCTGTGGATCAACAAGAACAAAATCAGCAACCTGCCCATCATAGTGGAGGAGATCTGCTGCAAGTTCCCCAACATCAAGTCAGTTCAGCAGCGATTTAAAGATCTAAGCACATGCTCTAAAGTGCACTTAGAATCTGAATCAACTTTTGGTATTTTAAGGATGGGAAAAACAGTCTGTGTGCCCAGCGCATAGTCTAAAAGGGTTGCCTTTATTCTCTTAATGAGTCATGGGTGTGTTTTGGGTGTCCAATCAGAGTCTCATCTCCCATTCCCTGTTAAAAGCATTACAGAATTAGGTCAATAAGGTGGAATAATTTGCACAATACTTACTTCTATTGGGTACTTTCAGAAAGGCGAGTTAGATTTTGCTGTAACTGGCTTAACCTTTCTTGAATGGCTCGCCAATGTATTAGATGACTCTAATACATAAAACAAGCTGACCACTGGGAAAAGACTTGATTGAAGACAGTAAATAGTGCAGTTCCTCAGCAGCGATGTTTACACTTCAGTCTTCAAGTAACTTAACCAAAGTATTGAGTGTTATTATTCAGTATTCTTTCTATCACTGACTTCTTTGAGTTTCATGACACTGTTTGACTCCATTGCAGAATTCTCAGCATGATGAACAACGAAGCGGCACCCAGTTACTTTAACGGAGGCAGTCTCACACAGTACATCGACTACAGGTGAGAAACCTGGCAAACAAACACCTTTTGTAATTCTGGCTTGTTTCGAGAAGTTCAGTGCTTAATGATAATATTAGAAAGCACCAAAACAAACAATCTCATGACACAACAAACCTCCCTCTCCTTTTATATAGCTTCACTGTAATTTCTAGACACGCCCCTTACTGCTGATTGGCTGCAACTATGTTAGAATCGATGGCTTTTAAAATAGTGCAACAGTGCTATGAAGATTTCAATTTTTTAAATAAAATAATTCCTCAAATTATAGTTTTATTAAGTGTTTTATTATTTAAGTGTTTTTTTAAAGTGTCCTTGCACACCAGTATATTATATATATATATATATATATATATATATATATATATATATATATATATATATATATATATATATATATATAATTTTTGTTATTTATAAATATATATTATTTTTATTATATATATATATATATATATATATATATATATATATATATATATATATATATATATGTATATATATATATATATTAATATTATTATTATTTTTTATTATTATTGGGCAAAAAATTGTAAACCTTTAATACATTTATTTATATATTTTTTTAAAGATTAATTTAACATGTATTTTTAGTTTACAAAAAAACTTAAGCAAGTTGTAAATACATTTTTTTAAATGCCCTTTTTTCTTTGGATTTTTAATAAATTAATTTCAACATTGCCTTACAGATTTATGATTTATAGAGTTTTTTTTTTTTTTTTACATTGGATATACAAAACAAACAGAATTCTGATTAGATCAATTGATTAATTAATTAATTAATTAGTTTGTTCGTTAGTAAGTTAGTTCATTCTTCCATTTGTTTGTTCATTCATTAGTTAGTTAATTTATTCATTTAATTGTTAGTTAGTTCATTCGTTCGTTCGTTAGTTATTTTAGTTAGTTCATTCATTCATTCGTTTGTTTGTTAGTTAGTTCATTTGTTCGTTTGTCCATTCGTTCGTTTGTTAGTAAGTTAGTTGTTTTAGTTTGTTCTTTGTTCGTTCGTTCATACATTTGTTTGTTAGTTAGTTCATTTGTTCGTTTATTTGTTCGTTCATTAGTAAGTTAGTTAGTTAGTCTGTTCTTTGTTCAATTCCTCATTTGTTAGTTAGTTTGTTTTTTAGTTAGTTTATTCGTTCATTTGTTCGTTAGTTAGTTAATTAGTTCATTTGTTCGTTTCTTCGTTAAATAGTTAGTTCATACGTTAGTTTGTTCGCTAGTAAGTTAGTTAGTTCTTTGTTTGTTACTTTGCTCGTTTGTTAGTTACTTAGTTAGTTAATTTGTTAGGTAATTAGTTTATGCGGTCGTTTATTCATTAGCTACTTAGTTTAATTGTTCATTCTTCGTTGGTTCGTTCATTTGTTAGTTAGTTAGTTAGTTTGTTAGTTAATTTGTTCATTTATTAGTTAGTTCCTTTATCCATTCATGAAATATATATATATATATATATATATATATATATATATAAATATTCTGACAACAATAAATTATTATCTATTAATAAACTACCATAATAACAAATTAACTTCTGCATATATTCAAATTTAAATCCTATAATACATTTTTTAAAACTTTTTATTGCTCTCGTTTACTGGCTAATCCAGCTGTGTGTTCATTTCTTAGCCCATACTGTGACCTAATATCTGCACTCAGGGTTTTTTTACAAACCTGTTTTTATAGGTTTATACTACCATCTAGTGTTCATGTTCTGCCATTGCAGATTCAGAGCAATCTCTAAAAATAAGATCTGTTCTGTGTTACATTAGAAAAAATATTTTTGTCCAAAGCGACTTTACAATTGAGGAAGCAATTCAGATATTCAACATCAAGAGGCAGGACGAACAAGTTATAACTATACAAAGGAACTGTTAGTGCTCAGAGAATTAAGTGCTAGTTAGTAGGTGGAACGTTTTTTTAAATAGAGAGAGAGAGAGAGAGAGAAAATTGCTTCTACAGGTGGTTTGTCAAGCCCACTCACTGTGTGAGACACACTCAGAATATCATAATGTTTTGAGGTTGTCATGTGGTGTGATGGGGAGAAAAGACGGGGTCCTAGTTTTGTTCACAGGGGTTCAGGTGAGAGATGGTTGTCAGCTGTCGTTTGATTGGTACCAGTGAATCAGCAGTCCATGTGGGAATATTAAGCCACCAGCGAAGAACAGTGAAAGAAAAGGTTTTGGAAAGTGACTTATAGCCTTTCAGGAGCAGGTGGAGGTAAGAGGATGCATTATTATTATTAGTCATAACAAGTAATTCCTGTGCTCCTCATTAACAGGCAGTATGTGATCAGTCAGATCCTCGGCCTGGAGGTGCTGGACGACACAGAGGTGCAGGAGAAAGAGCGAGAACAGGCCCGCAAAACATACCGGCTGCAGAGGATCAGAGAGGGCAGCAGGAGGAGGAAAGAGCTTCATCGCTGACAGACCATTAACATCATCATTATCATCATAATCATCATCATCATCATCAATATCATCATCAGACCATCATCATAATCATCATGATCATCGTCATCAATATCATCATCATCATTATCAGACCATCATCATAATCATCATGATCATCATCATCAATATCATCATCATCATCAATATTATCATCATCAATACCATCAATACCATCCTCATCATCATCATCATCAAACCATCATCATCATCATCATCATCATCATCATCAGACCATTATCATCATCATCAAACCATCATCATCATCATCATCATCAGACCATTATCATCATTAGACCATCATCATCATCATCAAATTCTCATCATCATCAGACCATCATCATCATCATCAATATCATCATCATCATCATCATCATCATCATCAGACATCATCATAATCAT